TTTAGCATCATTATAATTAAAAGCCAATGTTGTTCAAGCACTTTTACGTGCCCAAGTGAGGGTGTAGGAGCTGTTCACTGGCTATGTGGCGCCCACGATGTATATTTGCTGACGTATAATTATGGTGGGGTAAGCAGTGTCAAGTGCCGGAAATTAATATCTGACAGGTTGCGCCCTCGCTTCGGTGTGACGGAAATGTATTCCCTGGTAACCACTTGACGTATATCGAGAATCGAGACATTTTTGCGATTTTGGGTCGAATGTTCCTATTCGTATTTCCAAGTTCGAGCATTAAAAATGTACTTACTCCTATTTGTTGAGGCCATTCCTACGTCGTATATGTTGTAACACTTATAGTAGTCACGCAACACGCATTATTAATATTGCGTGTCTGCGTCGGGAAACCCTTATAAATGAGTCATTGTCAAAGTAAATACGTGAATTGTTAATGACGAAAACATTGTTTATTAGAAGACGTAGTCATACAGTTTTTATATGATCTATAAAGTCTGTAGTCTGGCCATGTAGTAACATTTTCTTTCTCATTTTTTTGAACGATATCAGGTTTAGGCAGGAATGGCGTGAAAATTGATGAGTTTTAACCCTGTCATGAATCTCTTTACTCCGCATGAAGGATGAATTGCCAATTAAGTTATAAATGTATTTACGAGCCTATTCTTTTACTGGTCATTGATTTCAATAAAGACTGTGGGTACTTAGGGTATATTTAAACTGCTGTGTTATATGAATCTAAAATCGGCAATAAGCTTTGTTTCAGTGTGATCGAGTCAATGTTGTCGTACATAATGGGATTATCCGTTGTAGTTTCAACCTACTTACTTATAGAAATAAATAAGTACAAACTAACATGTTTGACATGCTTTGTCTTTATAAATACAATATTATACCTTTCGTAATTTTTTGTTCAACGCTTATCGAGTAGCTGATGTTCAGTTTTAGGGTCAGACAGAGTATGATTAGGCATTTCAAATAGATTAAACAAATACAATTCAAGAAGTCTGTAATTGTCTTAAGGCTCATCCTTATTTTGCATTGGATTCATGACGTTACTATGTATAAAAGTGAGTATTGAGTGCATTTAAAATATGTTGACCTTCACCTGACTCTGGGGAATGCTTCCTGGTACTTGCTTATGATGCTACGTCATATTTTATGATAAGGACAAAATTCCTACAAAAACACTTTATCTTGTTTGATTGCCATTTAATTTGTAATAAGGAAAATACTATATTTTTCTAGCGTATTAATATTAAACCAACCAAACTATGCCTAGCATAACTGGTTAGGGATAAAGTAAAAACAAAGGTTATGTAATATTAAGTATCTTCCACTCCTACCCTTCTGATCTCTTTTGTTCAAAACAACTAAGAATTTGTAAACATTTGGCTACTACTTCCGCACTTACACATCGATACCGCAAACTACTTTCCGATCTTTCTATCTTCTTAGTAATGTATTTATTACAGGCATATTTTTAAGACATCAATCATGTATTCAGACACTAGTTCGATGTTAGTATTACGTTATTCATGTACCGTCCTGGTTTCCAGGCAATCGGATCGATCACTACTTGCATACGGTAAAACGAATGTGCCACAAAGAGGGCGATAGCAGTTTCCTTCATCGATTATCTAATATTAGCTTCGTAAATGCACCGCCGCCAGCCCTTCGATTGCAATAGGTTCTTCTAAGCTTTGTTCGATGCAATTTATGATGATTTTCTTCAACTGACAAAATGTATGAATTCATATTTCAGGTCCCTATGTGCCTGTAGTAAGGCTTTTGTATAAAAGATTTAATGATGCCCATATAACACCGCTAAAGCCACTTTTTTGGAGGTAATGCGGGTTTCTAGTCCGCGATCAAAAGTAATAAATTCCGCGTGTGCTCTAGAAGCCGAAACCTACGGAGTAAGCTGACCGAAGTGTGCTCCGGGAGGGTCAGTGCCTATAAAACATTTACGTCTAGAATTTATTTATATGCCGAGGTTATGACATTATCATAATATGAATGCAATAAACCGGACGCAAATGTATTCACTCGCTATAAAATTTATTGACCGCCCTAATATAAACTTTCGGTAGCATTGATGTTCTGATGAGAGCCGAAATCTTAAGAAAATGAAAAGTTTGCAATAAGTTCGACGCTTTGAATATCTGTCTGTGTACATCTTATTTAGACGATAATAAGCGTTCTTCCGCTAAGAGTTTGCCTCCAAGATAAGACCATTTGTCAATAAGTACTCAATATAGTATTAAGGCTGGGCGCGCCGCCCGTCGAGACGGCCTTCCGCCCGCCTACGCCGCCGCACGCCCTAGGTACCTACAAACTCTCATAAAAATATAATAACGCCGTGGAAAACAACCTTCTTGTGATGCAATTGTAATAAGTAGTTATCCCTTACGTATACCAGTAGACATTGAGTACATTCGCCTAAATAAGTTCTTCAAGCAATTGAGGAATCGTACATATATTTGGTAGACAGTATGGTGCTGAACATGCGTCGCCGGAAAGCCTGTCGATCAGTAGGGGCTGTCAACGTACCGGTTGTGGAAGGTTACGAGCGGGGCGGTGGCGATAGAGGGCGCCTCGCGCAGCGGGTTGCGCGCGTCGCTGGCAGCGCGGCGCTGGCGTCGTGACGCAGTGTGACGTCAGTGCGCCGTCGGCTCGATACGCGCCGGCCCCACCGTCAGTCGCCGCCCGAAGCAGGCCGCCGAACGTCGCGCCCTACGCGCCTCCGCCATCCGCGCACCTCTTTCATACCGGGTTTTAGTTTCGTACAAAGATGACATAGCCAGTGCCGTGCGACGAGACTACGTGAAAGCGCACACTTTTTAAGTTTTTACGTTGGAACGAGGAAACCGTAACGGTCCCCGTTGTTGCAGAACTAGAGACGACCCACCCCACTCCGTTAGAGGGAAAGAGGCGAGACCGAGAGGCGGCTTGTTCCTTTTTATCCGCCTTTTCATAAAGACTAGCGAAAATGGGCGAGGTGAGTGCTGTGCTTGCAGTAGTGCTTGCCTTAGCCTTTACAGTTAGCGTGCCGAGACGGCGATACAGTGCTTTTGTGAAGGTGTAAGTGCATGTCGCAAACAGTGAGTGCGGAAAGGTAACGAAGAAGCCCGGTGCTGCTTGCACTGGGCTCGGCTGCTCGTGAACAGTGCTTGCGATCTTGGTCTCATGTCCTTGTGCAGTTACATCGCGAGAAACCATTTGCACGTTCCATCGCCTTTGTTCTGGCACAAAAATGTCAACCGGTCCATCATCATATGCACGTAGTTCAAAACAGGTCGTTTTTCTTCCTATGATCGCTCAAGTTCCTTTGTCCATTTTAGATATGGTTATGCACTGAATGTGTTTTAGCCTTTAGTAATCATGTTTATTGTAAGGACGGTTAGGAATATAATTAATTGCAAAATTCGGGTGACAGAAGAGGAGTAATGTATCGGAGACGGCGCCGGTCGGGTTGCGTAACTCGTCGTATCGATCTGTGCGGAGAGGGACACTCCGCTCAGTCCCTCATATGCCAGTACCGAATCACTTCCTTGAAGCATCCTGATACAATTACCTTAATTTATATAAGAAGCATTACGATTAATACAAAACGATAGCCAGATACTTCTTTACTAATGCGGATCGTTAGCGATATTGTCAGAAGTTTGTTTCGGCATAAATTTCTAAATATTTTATTCATATTAGGAAATTAAATTCAGTTAAACTGCCTTAAAGAATATAATGCTCAAAAATACAAAGAAAAATGAAGTTTATATAAAAATACTATAATTTTTAATGAAATTATTACATTTTTCGCCACTAAAATTAATTTACATCTCGAAATTGTAATTACTAATTAGTTACGTTTTAGTAAAACAACCATATTGGCAATTAGTGTTTTGGTAAGACATATAAAACACGAAATTAATGTAATAATCAAATCCGCAAAAATTATTCAGTTAGCGACCTAGTATCCTATCCTGTACGCTGAAAATATTGATTTCAGCTCTCAGCGTGCCCTAGTTTCCTAACGGCCATTTAGGTCGTATGTCCTGCCTTGGAACGTCATGTCCTGATCGCGTGATCGTTATACTAAGGCAAAAGACCATTCCTCACTAGGTGTTCTGGAGGAAGTGGCTAACAGGTTGTCGCGGGAGCCAACCGTGCTTCGGACACGACAACTATAAGAGTACCGAAGGTTTATTAGAAAATTGCCTTGTCATTATGTCATTTAAATCGCATAGAGTACCGTCGCTCTATTGGAGTATTTCCTCTATCCTTTTATGACGACAGCACGCATCAATTAGGATCGTAGACGTGGTCCTTGATGGTGTTTCCTAATGGTCTAAAGTTTTCTTTCGTCTTGAGACATTGTGCCTAATAATACAAATGCACAATACTCTTATAGACATTTGATGTATTGATTGATAATCGCTTTATTATTTTTAGATACTTATTGGACTTTACATTTTTTTCTCTTTTAAAGACCTTATCGACTATCGGTATGTAGGATACAAAGGTTTAGTACTAACAATGATTGATACCGTGCAGAGATTACAAATGAATCATTGTGATTTAAAGGACACATCTGGAGTAGATTGTCGTCTGATTGTCCAGCACCCGTTGCCATGGCCAGTAGGACGTGGTCTGGTTAAAGCTATTACGCAATACCAGAACTATTATTCCTCTGTCTGTGTCAGAAGTATTGTGTACTTTATTTTGTACACAGTTCTGCTAGACAGTTCTGATCCTTCGTCGTAGTAGGACGTCGAGATTACGTAATCGTACTTTGACGTATTTTTCTCCTAGACTTGAAATACAAGTTAATTATTTATGTGTCCCGAATTATAATTCAACCTCTTAGTTCAGTGATCTCTTGCATAAAAATAATAACAGTTATGACTTTGCTGTATCAATTTGTCAAATAACACGTAAGGTTATCACAAAGAAATTACGGTCATGTAGGTATTTTCGAACATTATCTCTGGAAATATTTTAATATTTTAAAAATAGTTATAGTCGTACTAATTTGGGTACTTGCGCTTAAATCTGTGTCACAAATAAACTTATTGGCATACGTTAACAGTTTTAGTAGCATTATTGATTCCAACAAAACATCTTAAAACAAAAATAAAACTAAGAGGTTCTCTCCATCACCAGTGATGTTAATGCAAAGTTATAAAATAAATGTAAAATCAATATTTTCTTGGTATTATTCCTTGGAGAGGAATAATATACAATGTCGATTAGAACACAGCCGGCGTTACATGTTTATGGTTCCTCATACTCGTCTAGATCTCCAGATAGACCGCGGGAAAGTAGGGTTTAGATAATAATAGTGTTTTGGCAACGATCGAGAATCGCAGCGTCACGGGGATCCGAAAGCACGTCACATGCGCCGCGTTTCATTAATGTTAAAAATAATTGTCTCATTCATTGCGTCACGCATCTACTACAGTAGTAACCACAAATTTTCGGTGTAAAGCAGTTTTGCGGCCGTGGCAATGAATCTTCGCCGGCCAGCTGACATATGACATGGCATTTGTATGCTGTTCGTTGACTCAATCACATCTATTTAATGTTTTCAATCTATTTCGGGCCATCGGTGAATTCAGTTTGTTTTCCGCGCTATTTTATTCTCAAAACCCAGAATAAAATTGATTAATATTGTATAGTTTTCGTGCAAAACAACTTTAAAAGACCCTGTCTTATTACATTTCGTATGAACCCATGCTCTCGTTTCAAGGTTTTGAAAGTGGGTTAATCATCCCCTTGCAAACAGTCGTCGTTTTATTCATGCTAGAACCAGTTTCGATTTTCCATCAGATATTCCGGTTTAACCTTTATAGAGATTATAAATGCGGTCGCCGGGGCCCCGGGGTGGCAACCTTGTCTTTTAGCTATTTATGTCGAGGGTAGCGCGCGGGGGTTGGTCCGCAGTGCGCATGCCCGATGTGCGCGCCGCTTATGTAACTCGGGACACGCCGCCGCGCCGCACCACCGTCGTCGCCTCTGCCGCATGTCAGTCCCAGTGTGGCCCCTGCCTTGCACCGTGCGGTGAAAGGCAAGAGCCATCTCGAAATACACCCTATGAATATTCCGTTTTCATTATTCTCTCTCGCGCCACGGTTACATCGACACCCCTTCTGTTAACTTCAATCCATCTTGAACATCCATTATTCATATCGCCTCTCTAACGGAAGTCGGACCTTTCAGTTTACTCAAAGGTTCTTTTGATTAAACAATCCATTACCCGTTGAATTTTCCGGCACCAGTGCAGTTTACAGCTAGTTATTCTCGCGATAACCTTCATGGGAATTCAGGGCGCGGTTTAATGAGGCCTGCTATGAAAACGTTCATCAATTATCGCCGGCGACGGCTAGCTTGTTTACGGTACCGCGGACGCATTTAGACTTTGTGACATTACCCCTCTTTAGCGCATATAGCGCACTCGTTTTGTTACGTAAGAGCCCATATCCAGGCAATTTTAATGTTGAGATCGTCAGTTACCGAGTGACTAGTTGGACAGTTAACAATAACACACCCTGCCGATAGGACGTACTCTTCCTGAAGTGTAAATAATCCAGAACACTATGGGTGATGTGAGTATCTAGTTGTAGTGTGTTCACATTGTATTATGCTTTAGTGGTTGAGGTTCTGTGTGGAATCGTCCATGCGTAGAGGTGTACGCCTGTGCGATGTCCTTACATTCGCTCAGGTTCGCACGCGCAACTAGTTCAGACCAATTGAGCGCCATTGAGCCGTTGGTCCCCAGCTCTATAGATTACTCGGTTGGCAAGGTTATGCCTCATATGCTCTGTCGCTGTGTAAAGCTTTGCAATTGAACGTTTTTCAAATGAATATGGTACTTCTATTCAATTTTTATCTACACACCCTTACAATTGTAGCTTATTACATCATAGCTAGCACAATCATTCTAGATGCAATTTAAATTAGCGCTACCCTTTGTCTTTTTTTACATCAATTTGCATTTTTGTTTTTGTATTGAGTGCCTGGATGGTTCCTTGTTATTACGCATCAACAACCAGGTGCTTTTTAATATTCTTTCTCATGTTTTGTTCTTGAGTATCGATATTGCATGCACCCTGAATCATACACTTTTGTTCTTCATATGTTTTCTAAGTTCGTGCAAGCGGGATCCATGCGATATCGTTGCTCTTCACTGCCACCCATTCATCCATGAGTGCATGGCCCATAGGGCCGCCTAGTAGAATGTGTCTAGCCCCTAGTTGTGTTTACAGCATGGCAGAACCGACTCGTACCGCGTCGCCACCATTGGACCCATTAAGGACGATAATAGAACTGCTGACGGACAGTACAAGGTTTTTATTTACATTACCATCTTTCATTATAATCTTGCTAAGTGATCAATGACGCCAGCAGTCGCAAGACAAGCAACTGTCAACATTAATGTATTGCATGGTTTTAATGCATTTTTATTTTGCATTGCATTTTGGTACTTCATCATTTTTAATTATTAAGACTGTTCAAATAACTTTTCGAGCAAACTGTACATTTTATAAATATAGACTAACAGTCTATTACTACAAATTAAATTCACGTGTATATTTTTAAAATATTCAGACACGCCGGAAACCCCCCGCGAAAAAACGGAAAGCAGGAGATTTAGATGATCTCAAACAGGAGTTGGACATCGATTTTCACAAAGTAACACCGGAAGAGCTCTACCAAAGATTTCAGACACATCCAGAAAATGTAATGTTTTATTGTCAGAATTAGTTTTTGTACAAATACTAGACTTGTCATAGGAACACGTTATCTGGAATGTCTTCTTCTCTTACAGGGCCTTAGTCACGCAAAAGCGAAAGAGAACCTTGAACGGGACGGTCCAAACGCGCTCACGCCTCCTAAACAGACGCCCGAGTGGGTGAAGTTTTGTAAAAATCTGTTCGGTGGCTTTGCGTTATTACTGTGGATTGGTGCTATTCTTTGCTTTATTGCCTACGGAATTCAGGTCAGTAATCGTGAATTTATGTCGATGATCAGTATACTTAAATAATTAACTGAAGTAGCGGACCAATTGACCCCGGCTGATTGATTTCTCAGGCGAGTACCGTTGAAGAACCTGCGGATGACAACTTGTACCTCGGCATCGTATTGGCGGCTGTCGTGATCGTTACGGGCATCTTCTCATACTACCAGGAAAGCAAGTCATCGAAGATCATGGAATCGTTCAAGAACATGGTACCCCAGTTCGCTACCGTCATTCGAGAGGGCGAGAAGTTGACGCTGCGCGCTGAGGACTTGGTACTCGGAGATATTGTTGAGGTAAGAACCCAACAAACTTTTGCTATTAAATACCTCATTATATTCACTTAGTAGACTTACTTACCATTCTCTTATTTCACAGGTGAAATTCGGTGACAGGATCCCTGCTGACATCCGTATCATTGAGGCACGAGGCTTCAAGGTCGACAACTCAAGTTTAACCGGTGAATCTGAACCCCAATCGCGTGGTGCCGAATTTACTCATGAAAACCCACTGGAAACTAAGAACTTGGCATTCTTCTCTACTAATGCGGTTGAGGGTACGGCGAAGGGAGTTGTCATCTGCTGTGGAGACAATACGGTAAGACAGAGCTTCAAAATATAAACATGATATAAAATACAACAACAATAGATATAATGTTATAATAAAATTATCAATTTCTTGTATTAATACTGTTTCTTTTTGCAATAGGTGATGGGTCGTATCGCTGGATTGGCGTCAGGCTTGGACACTGGAGAGACTCCCATTGCTAAGGAAATCCACCATTTCATCCACTTGATTACCGGCGTGGCTGTGTTCCTCGGCGTTACCTTCTTCATTATTGCTTTCATCCTCGGCTACCACTGGCTGGACGCTGTAATCTTCCTCATTGGTAAGTGCAATAAACCCACATTTCTCTCTCAGTTGTAGTAGTGTACCTTGCATTAATTCTTTGTTCCTTCCTCAGGTATCATCGTAGCCAACGTACCAGAAGGTCTACTGGCCACTGTAACCGTATGTCTGACCCTGACTGCCAAGCGAATGGCTTCCAAGAACTGCCTGGTCAAGAATCTGGAGGCTGTCGAGACCCTCGGATCCACTTCAACCATCTGCTCGGACAAGACCGGCACCCTGACACAGAACAGGATGACTGTCGCTCACATGTGGTTTGATAACCAGATTATTGAAGCTGACACCACCGAAGATCAGTCTGGAGTTCAGTATGGTATGTATTCGAGAATTTTAATAAAAGTATGATTCGAGATTTTGGTTACAAATCTTAACAATGGTTATTTCGTCCTCAGACCGCACCAGCCCCGGATTCAAGGCGCTCGCTAAAATCGCTACTCTATGTAACCGAGCTGAATTCAAGGGAGGTCAGGATGGTGTACCAATTCTGAAGAAGGAAGTTGCCGGTGACGCCTCAGAGGCTGCTCTGCTCAAATGCATGGAATTGGCTCTCGGAGATGTTTTGTCAATCAGGAAACGCAACAAGAAAGTCTGTGAGATTCCCTTCAACTCCACCAACAAGTACCAGGTTTCTGTTCACGAGAGCGACGACCCTAGCGACCCTCGCCACCTGCTTGTGATGAAGGGAGCACCTGAGAGGATTCTGGAACGATGCAGTACTATTTTCATCGGCGGCAAGGAGAAGGTTTTGGACGAGGAAATGAAGGAAGCTTTCAACAACGCTTATTTGGAATTGGGAGGTCTTGGTGAACGTGTGCTCGGTTTCTGCGATCTCCAACTGCCATCAGACAAGTACCCCATTGGCTACAAGTTCAACACTGATGACCCCAACTTCCCACTGGACAACCTTCGCTTCGTCGGACTGATGAGTATGATTGATCCTCCTCGCGCTGCGTGCCTGATGCTGTAGCCAAGTGCCGGTCAGCTGGTATTAAGGTATGTTGGATTTGCTAAGGTGAACTTCCAAATAACTTTGCCGTACGACATCGCATTAATATCATCGCTACTTCACAGGTTATCATGGTTACTGGCGATCACCCCATCACTGCCAAGGCTATCGCTAAGTCAGTAGGAATTATCTCGGAAGGCAATGAGACTGTTGAGGACATCGCAGCTCGGCTGAACATCCCCGTCTCTGAAGTGAACCCACGTGAAGCCAAGGCTGCCGTCGTCCACGGAACTGAGCTCAGGGAACTCAACTCTGATCAACTTGATGAAATTCTGAAGTGAGTATTGTTCCTTGTTAAATGTTTAGTATGCAATACTTAATTGAATCATGCTTATCGATAATTTGTCCATCAGGTACCACACGGAAATCGTATTCGCCCGTACGTCGCCGCAACAGAAGCTGATCATCGTGGAAGGTTGCCAGCGACTGGGAGCCATCGTGGCTGTGACTGGTGATGGTGTGAATGACTCCCCCGCTCTGAAGAAGGCCGACATCGGTGTTGCTATGGGTATCGCTGGCTCAGACGTGTCTAAACAAGTAAGTGAATAAACAAATACAGTTATAATTTCTATGAGGACTCGGAATGGCAAATCTGAATGACTGGCTAACCAATCTTCTAGGCCGCTGACATGATCTTGCTGGACGACAACTTCGCTTCAATTGTAACTGGTGTAGAGGAAGGCCGTCTGATCTTCGACAACTTGAAGAAATCTATTGCGTACACCCTGACTTCCAACATCCCTGAAATCTCACCCTTCCTTGCCTTCATCCTTTGCGACATCCCTCTGCCCCTGGGTACCGTTACTATCCTTTGCATCGATCTTGGAACTGACATGGTAAGTTCGACCTTATTTCTACTAGTCTACAGTCTAATTTCTTATAAAATGTGCAACATTGCAAGGTGTTTTATTTACTTTGTTTATTATATTAAATGAGAGATGCATTGTTAGATAAAATCTAACTCTAGGAAATTGTACTTACAATGTTGCATATAATATTGTAACATTAAATAATTTGTATAATTTACACCGTTTGTTCATTTAAAAAATACCAACGTAAAACAAACGCAATTTTATAACCGCAACTTTATAACGAAGGAAAAAATGTACCACAATAATGAACAAAGGATGTAGAAGAAAATGATGTATACTATAGTTAGTATGTGACGTAAATATTTCAGCAGAAGATCCCTCGAGCCGATATTATTACTGTTTATATTAAATAAGTGATTGACGTAGGTGCCAGCGATCGCGTTGGCTTACGAGACGGCAGAAGCTGACATTATGAAACGTCCTCCTAGGAACCCATTTTGCGACAAACTTGTCAATGAGAGGTCTTTATTAAGTGATTACTGTTATGTTGCCATATAACTACTAACTGGTTTTCAGCTAATAACGTCGCTGTTGTCTCGATATCGTGACGAGTGGGTGTTTATCTAATGTGTACCTTATTTACATAAACGTAACTAACAAATTTTAATGTCAAATAAACATGGCTATCTATCTTTTTTAATTCACTTTTGTCAGGAGACGAATTGGCTTTGTTACGAGTATGTAAATAATAATATTGTGTTACAGTGTAATAAAAATGTAGAGTCATGCATGATTCTACTAAAATCAGGCAGACATACTAACATAGGATAGGTCCCAACTAATGAGTGTTGTCCTTACATGTTCCTGATATGAGTTCGCTGGAAGTTTAGTAGGAATGAGGGGATGATGTACGTAGATGTGTTTGGTCCATTTTATATAAATAACTGACTCTCTCTACGTAATAAAGAACTAGGCATCGTGTATAAGCCCGAGGTGGACAGTACGAGGTCTGCACAAGCTCGACTCAGTAACTGTCCCACAGTAAGACAGACACAACACACTGATGTACCACACTCATTTCACCCCATCACCATCCAGTCAATTCGAGAACGTCCATAGACATGTGATTTAGTTCCAAAACATGACATCCTCACTCATATTACATGCGGTTGTTCATTTTATACTTTTAAGTTACAAAGAGCCCCGTCTGCCACAACTGAAGTCATCTCATGATCTACATTTTTTGTGTTAATTTTATTTTGTGTGATAGTTTTTAAGCGTAACAAACAGTTGTTAGCATACGCCACTGCGCCGCACTCGGTGTAGAAGCACGCAATGATCAGTGTAGTTGAGTGGGCGACAGTGGCGTCTGCTTGCAAGGTTGTTGCTATATGTTCGATGTTGTACACATGTGACTGATGCACCACGCTTTCGTGCGAGTGCGTGAGCGCTTGGGCGTTCCGCGGCCGGTTCGCGGGTCGCTCACATCGCTAGTGTTTGTGTAGGTGCCCGCCATTTCCCTGGCTTACGAGGAGGCCGAATCTGACATTATGAAGCGACAGCCGCGTAACCCTTTCACTGATAAACTCGTTAACGAGAGGTAAAACATGACGAGTGGCGAGACTCGTTCAAAGATATTATTCTATCCGCTACTTGCTTGCTACCACGTGTCTAGTCTTCAATATTGAGGTTTGGTTGTTGCCTGCAGTGTGTGGACGCTGTCCTGTAGGTACACGAATCTAGAATTGTCTGTGTGTGGATATTGAAGGCGACAATCGCACCGCTCCTAACTTTGCCTTGCGATGTCTTTTTATATATTTTTTCTATACTAACGTATCTCCTATTTCCTTTAACTATGTAGCTTGATGTGGTGATGGAATAACGTGTTTCGACACACGGCGTCGTGCTCATAGACCAAACGCATTGTTCCATTGTTTTTGTGGTTTTATTAATTCTCTTTCCGCTATGTTCTGTGTTCGCGCGCAAAGGTAAGTTTGGTGTCTCCTGTCTCTGTCATTTGTCTATCGTGCATGTATGAACACACCTCGACGTCTTTACAACTATTACTGATTGTATACTTATTGTATTTTGACTTTCTCATTGATTACCTCTCATGATCTCATACACGATAAGTATATCACAAGTGACATCGTCTCATTCGATATTCTTGTCACACAACGCAACAGGCTTCATCACACCGCATACTCATATATATGACACCAACGTCTCTCCGTATCTATGTACAGTTAGGTACAGCGACACTGTATGATACCTACATGATACAAACATGCTGCTAGGGCTTATATTTGTAACTTCTCTCACTAGTGTAGTATTTCAGATTATTTTGTCTCCTCAAGGCTAGTACCAGCTGCCATAATTTTTGAATTTCAATCACGCCAATTTTTCCACTTTTACATTTACTAGCTAATTTATGAGTAATATAAGTATACCTACGATAAATAGTTTTATGTACTTTTTGATATTAATTACTTTCTAATAACGCTAGTTGTAGATATAGGTTGCGGCGTAGCCGAGGGGTGTATGTACGTATATTTATTATGTATAAGTCGGAGCGTGCTGGTCGCGCGAGTGTTGGTTTGTCCTGATTGCTTGTGTTACTGAAGGTGCCTGCTATATCATTGGCGTACGAGGCGCCCGAGTCCGATATCATGAAGCGGCAGCCGCGGGACCCTTACCGCGACAACCTCGTCAACAGAAGGTTGGCCCCGCACCCACTCCGCCACCGGGCGCCGCGTCACCGCGCGAGCCCGACGCTTACTAGATTCTCATTTGGGTGTTAACACAATGACTAGCCCACCGTTACTTGAGCATACCACCGCCTCCGTTGGTGAGATTAAATAATTTCAGTGGTGCGGCTACTTGTGGTTCAACAGTACCATTTGAAAATGGATGTGGAAGAGTGATTATGACGATCCGAGCCTCCCCCCGTACCTTGTCCACGTATTGCAATTGGCTGTCAACCCGATGTTGTTTAAATTTAGAGTAAACCCTTGATCCGATAGAAATTCAATAGTCGCGACGCTTTCAAAGTACATAATACAAAATAAATATACCGAATTCTTCATAGCAACAGTATTTATTTAAAATCTATTATCTTGTTTAAATTTCTATAGATTTATCCAAAATTACTTTAGAGATCTCTAGAACTAGAAAAGCTAGTACTTTCTTTATCTGTATAATCTTCACTCTTCCATATTTCAATATTAGAAAATCAATTATTAAAGTTAGCGATGCAATGCTGTGTCGAATAAAAAAGTTGCACGTTTAGCGAACAAATTAGAAAATGTTTTAGTCTCTGTCATAGAGAGCGCACTAGTGGTTATTATTGTGTGTGAGTTTACATGTTAGCAAAAGTAGAATAGTGGTGGTCGAATGGTTCATAACTAATATTAATTAATATATTTTGAACAAACGTTTTTGTTGAAGGAATGTCTTAGGCGACATTGAGTATCTTTTATATTGTAATATCTTTTTTTATGTTTTATCTTCTTGGTATGTATATATTTTTGTATTTTTTGTATATTGTTTTATATTATGTATGTAGTATATTCTCTATAGTTGAAGCACGTTGTACTGCAGATCACACTGCTAATAGCGCTTCCAAGCCCCACAGATAATACAAACACGGTTAGGCAGTTTTGTATAGCAGTCTTTAAATTTATTTTATATTTATTTAACTCTTCTTGCTTATTCTTCCAGTACTCTTTTATTATTTTTACTTCTGACACAAAAAAACGCTTGAGCTTTCTTCGCCAAATAGTTAAATATTCTCCTCTGCATGCTTGTGTGAATCTTCAATGGATTTTTTTACCTTAACCTGGAATTAATACAATGGCAATGACTTGAAAAAGAGAATATTATCGAAATAGGATATAAGCAACTTTAAATGTAATTTTAAATACTCTTTGAAAGAAAATAAAACAACAAGTATTCTATTTTTCAATTCATATTGAATTGGTTAACTTATGGCAAATAAGACTGATAACTGGTAACTCATAAGTAAAACAAAAGATCAATTTAGATCAATTTGATAAATCAAAGTGAACATTAATGGATTTAAGTCTTGATTGCCATACTTGATATGGTGATGTTTGCAAAACAAAAACTAACAACGATAACGGAATTTAACGCTTAATTTCTTCATAGTAAAACTCAAAGTGCTTAACACAAAAGTATTGAACCTATTAGCACATTTGAAAATATTGCAAACAAATATCACTTTGAAGCAAAATTAGTTGGCCATTAAAAGTAAAAATGTGTGTTGTTGGCAACGTCAAGGCGATGAGTTCAAAATGTGACATGTGCCGGGTGTACACAGGCTTATTTCGATGGCGTACGGCCAGATCGGCATGATCCAAGCCGCTGCCGGCTTCTTCGTATACTTCGTGATCATGGCTGAGAACGGCTTCCTGCCGATGCATCTCTTCGGTATCAGAAAGCAATGGGACTCCAAGGCCATCAACGATTTGACTGACTCCTACGGACAGGAATGGGTGCGTTTACCTCATTATTACACTTCCTCAATTATCACATTATACAATGAGAAAGACAGGAAATGAGATCATTATCAGAACGAGTTAAAAAATTAACCGCAATATCTGGTCATTTCAGACAATTAATCCGTCAAACACCAAGCGGTCACCGGTGACCGCGACCTATTGTTCTTTAATTGTGTCTATAAAACCGGTACTCGACGAGTTAAATTGATCTTGTACTTCATTGTCTTTCTCAGCTGTGTTATATCAATGTTCTATTTTTTTTATTATATTCATCATTTGATAATAATACTTCCCCGGTTTCCAGACCTACCGCGACCGCAAGGCTCTCGAGTTTACCTGCCACACCGCTTTCTTCGTCTCCATCGTGGTGGTGCAGTGGGCTGATTTGATCATTTGCAAGACGCGCCGTAACTCGATCATCCACCAGGGCATGCGCAACTGGGCTCTCAACTTCGGTCTGATCTTTGAAACCGCGCTGGCTGCATTCCTCTCTTACACGCCTGGAATGGACAAGGGATTGAGGATGTACCCTCTGAAGTGAGTATACTGGACCAGTAGGGAGTGCCCTACACAACTTGAAATGTGGTCAATTGAAGCAAGTATTCACGATGTGTTTGTTTGTCTGCAGGTTCGTGTGGTGGCTGCCTGCCATTCCATTCATGCTGTCGATCTTCATCTACGACGAGATCCGACGTTTCTACCTGCGCCGCAACCCCGGCGGCTGGCTCGAACAAGAGACTTACTACTAAACCGCACCGACCACTGTCCACACCGTCGTGCATCAGTTAGTTACTGCGTACATAAAGTTCATTTGTGTTCTTATATCAGACTGACAGAGGTTTGCGGTGCCGTTCCGGTATATGTGTAATCGCTGTCGTGTACGCTTCTCACCGCTTGTTACCGCATCGCTCCGCACAGGGGCACCTGTGTCTGTACCTGTCGAGTGTTCTATGTTATTCTGATGTTTCATTGCGTAATGTGACCGAGAGGACGCGGCTGCGCTGGCGCCGGTCGGGCCCGCGCCCGCCCCTCGCCACCGCACACTTACACTATCGTTTCTAACGAACTATGTATGTATATATGCACAGTGGAGAATGAAGTTGATATTTGTGATGATATAAAAAAAATATTATACACATATTATTTTAAATCGTGAATCATGTTATTTTTGTATCGAGATCGTTTAAAACGTTCGAGTATCTCGACTGTCATGCGACAATTTGATGAATCTTTTCGATATTTGTTGAATCTCTATATATTTGATGAGTAGCGTCGCGGCGGCGGCGGGCGGGTAGCGCGGGCCTGGCGGGGCCCCGGCGGGCCGCCCTGCCCCTGCCGGGCCCCTGCATGCCGCCAGCCGGGCCCCCGCCGCCGGCCGCGGCCCGTCGTCGCACCACGCTCGACGTCACGCGCAAGCGGCCGCCGACTCGGAATTCATGTTACAGTAGTACGCCCTCAGTGACACTGATGACATTATAAGATAGATTAAAACTAATACTAATAAATTGTTTTTCACATACTTATGTAATAAGTAATAAATTATCGTTTAGCGGTAGTTCATCGTTCGTGAATCGAGTGGGCAGAAGTATGACGCCCGCCGCGCTCCGTGCTCGGCGGCCAACGAAACGCATTTGTTGTAAAATTAACAGTTAAGAAGCCATTATTATTATTATAATTTAAGTGAATTAGATTTAAGTTGAATTTTTCGAGTGGAAAAAAGTTTAGTTGAAGATTCGATCGGGTGCATGGTGTATGAGAGGTCGATGTGGAGTGCCTGAGTTTTAGTGTACTACTGCTTACTGTTAGGTAGGTAGTTGAAATTTTGATGCCGTATTTTCAATTGTAAAAGTAGATAAATAAAGCATACACAGTCGCGATCGCTTAGAGGCGCGGGGGGCGGTGCGCGCGCGTCGCACCGCTACACTACATACAGCACTGCCGTCGACTATTGTTGTTGTCTCGTCAGGCGGCCCGCCCGGCCCGGACCGGACCCGACGCTTTTCTTTTCTAAAAATAATCAGATTATTAGCGAATTTTGTCAAATTTATTAAAATAGGCTGCTCATGGTAATTACGTAAGATTTTATTTCTTAATTAAAAGATAATAAACAAAACGTAGGGATGCGTAATTAGAAATTTTTAAAATTATACAGTTATGATAGAGTGATCTTGTTTTAGTCGGCACTTGGCCCTTGCGCGGCCGCGGTAGGCAGGATCGTACGCCGAGCGCGCGAGCGGCCGACTCACGAGTCACTCACGCACCCGCCAAGGACCAAGTGGAGCGATTCATTTCAATTTTTCGTAACGAATACATATAACATTATAATAATGGTTACAAAAGTAAAATATAACATTATAGCGACTAATAAAATCTAAATTATATGAAATGTTTATAGATTTAAATGAAGTTCGTTTCTTTAGGGTGACCTTCTGTGCTTGTTTGATGAGAACGATGTACATCTCACTGACAATAGTCGTTGATGATATTATTGTAATGATCTGATCTTTGTAAGCGGTTTGTTTATCGTACACTGTAGAACTAACATTGTTTTGCGTTCGACAGTTCTTTACACCGATTCATTTTATAGTATTACTCTGTTGGCTAGGAGCGCTGTAAAAATGTAAGTGTTAATAAAAAAAACATTTTCAAAATATTAATGTGGCGTTTTATTGTTGATTTTTTATTATTATTCTTTTAAACCATTCTTTATTACCTAAGGTATTTTATGAAACATTTTTGTTTCAACCATACTTATTTATTGCAATATTTATAGTAATACCAAATAGGTACTTATACATGACAAAAACAGAAATCACAAACAAATAAATTGAATGAATAAATGATCATTGTACAATTGGTATCTATAAAACATAGATACATATTATGAATTTAAAAATATTACAAAAATTCTCTATTAAGTATGTAATTAAAGCTAATAAAATTTAATAAAAGACGTTATAAAAACATGGACTACCTATCTATAGTTAAATGACTAGTCTAATTGTTGAACTATTGTTTAAGACTCGTCACAGTCAAATTTAAATGAAATAATCAAAGTTCGATGAAAATGTTCATTTGTTACATGAACATAAAAAAAACAAATGAACAATATCTGAATAAGTCTAAGATTGTTAATTAGTAGGACTTGGTTTCTTCATTTTATTTTAGTCTTACGGATGATTCGGGGCATTTTTCAGACGATGTGTTTGTTAAAATACCAACTTAGGATAACGTTTTTTCAATCATCAGCTAATTCTTAACTGAGGAATAACTTCGAATATTTGACAATTCTGCCATACTAACAACTGTCAAATGTCTATTTTATTCTATAGTTAAGAATTAACTCCTCGGTTGCCAAAGAAGAGAAAAAAATAAGAATAACTGATTACCTATTGAAGATTCAGGCCTTAATCGGACATTGTGAAATAGGCCCTTAGTATTATTGATAGTATGGAATAAAAATTAATAGATCATAAATAAAAATTAATAGAGCATAAATAAAAATTGTAAGTCGGTTTTATTAAACTAACTATCAATCAAAACATATAAGACGAGCTGTAATATTTACCAAAAAAAGGTATAATTAAAAATTTAATCCAAAAAATAAATAGATTAACTGTAATGAGAAATAGTAGATGCTAGGATATTTTTTATATAGGTATTCAATGGGCCCAAGTTTGGCCACTATCTCGCCTGGTGGTAAGCATAAGTAAGCTATATATTATTACAATAATAGTAATATAAATCTTAAAATGATATTAAGAGTAGGTACTAGTTACCTATTACATTTTTTAGGGTTAATTTGGATAAATGGCTCTGTAACCTTACCTAGCCATTTATCTTTTGCAATTTATGATAAATAATGTTATTAGTATCTATTGGCTTTGCCTTGAGTAATCTAATTGTTAAACTCTTGTTATCATTGTTCATTAATAAAGTGAGTTATTAATTTCTTTTTGTAAAAGAACGATGCCAGGTGGTCAGTACATCTTTGACCCACTCTATTAGAAGTCATGTACAAGCTTCAGTAGTATTAATTGCCGATTCCTAAAAATTTGCCCTGAAACCTGTAAAACTTGCGGTTTTTGTTTAATCGGTTGGGATCAATAACTCGCTAAACGCTATTGGATCTCTGGATATAATAACTTGATTATACTATGCGTTTAGCTCTCATGTAAGTGGGTATATCTGCCCACTTACATACAGAATTGTATTGTTTTCTTTTCCTGATTGATTACCATTGAATATATTTCCTATGCAATGTAAAGCACCTGAATAATATTTAATTTACTGAAAGCTTCCCTACGGATGTGCAGTTTATTTACATTTACACAAATCCTCTGGGTTTTAAGTGTGAGTGACGTATTGCGCTGCAGCTACATCTCTGGCAGATCTCCAATGTCCTAATTGCAACGTTGGAGTGATTACACGTAGCCCATGTAGATACATACTAACCATAAGTGCGTAACTCACATATCATGTGTAATATGTATCGTTAAACTATTTTCAGTAAATGTATTTTACCTAACTATAATTTATTATTTTATAAAGTTACTCATGGTGACCCTTGAAAATCATTAATGTTTGTAAGTTATAACTTATGCAAACCTTGACAGGTACAGTAAGCATATTTATACCATTACTTAGCTATAATTGTGTAAGCATGTATAGCCGAAGGGTGCGAGGCACGTGCCGCCCTCGGCCTTGACGACAAGCTCCTCGCTATACGTACGTGTATACGTATACGTACACAGTACACCTGTAACTGAATCCTTCGTCCTATAGCCGCGCAGAATATTCCACACGCCCCGTCGTGCCCCTCGCGTACGGCGCATGTGCAGCACTTTGACAGCCCGACCGTGCCAACACGTCCCAATTATTTTCCTCAGTTCGCTTTATTGTCGCATTATATTCCACTGAGATATTCAACGAATGTCTCATACTAGATAAGTGAGAAGTGTGAGTGGGGCGTGAGAGCGGAGCGCGCAGCGATGCGGCCCGCGGGCTCCCAGTGAGCCAGGATGGTGGCCACCATCGGCGTCATCAACCCGTCTAATGGTAAACATGTTTGTGAGGAGCTGACTTGGTGTGGTTAGCGAGTGGTGCTGAGTGTTGTTGGTGTGCACAGTGGAGGCGACAGCGTACATAAGCGCGGTAGCGGCGTTCGCGGTGGTGGTGCTGGTGCTGCTGCTGTTCCTGGGCAGGCGCTGGTGCTACACGGCCGTCTTCACGCGCAAGTGTTGCGATGACATCCTCGCTGTGAACGCGCACGTCGCTGCCCCCTGTCTTCCCCTCGACAATGCTCAGTTTGGTGAGTACCAAGTCTTTGTTTTGCTTTTGTGTTACTAAGCTACTGTATGTCGTTAATAAATATTTCATTAGAAAGGTACCGAAGTTTTCTTTGTTGCTAACACAATAGATGTTAAATGATCACGTTACAATAATGTCCCCTATAAATTCCAAGCATAGATATGTGAAATGCTTTACCTTTATAAATAAACCTGTGGCTATTGATTTTGTGATTAATAAATGATGTACTTAGGTACATTTGATTTCGTTATAGAGCGGAGTCATTTGTGAACGTTATTGTGTAGTATAGAAGAAGTAATATTCATTAATTTAGTGTTTAATGTACCCTCAAGGACGTCGTGTGCGTCATCAAGGTCTCGTATTAATTTCTTTATACTTGTTATATCTAGGTGTTTGTTTACACACTTAGAAACCGTAGAGAACTATAATGCTAGATCTCAGTAGTTATAAGTAAGAGTTAGAGTAGTTTAGCTCGGGCTAGGGCAATATTGTACATCGATTGACGTTGTCCGTACGTCTGTGTTGTTATAGATGCTTTGTCGAAACCGAACCATTACCCCGAACGAATATTCACGTTCGAGGCTTCCGACTCGGATGAAGAGCTGCGTTTGCGCATCCAACAGGTGAGACAGTAGACCGTTCGACACTTGTATTTATTCTCCTTTCAATAGTTTCACGCTTCTAATATATTCATTACAATAGATATAGTCGACATTACTCGGATCTTAAAAAAACACTCGTTTTATATGACTCACCTCGGTGCTTACAACTTCATGTAACCCTGGTATTTAGGGCGCCTCATTTAGGCACATTAACGCGAACGCCAGTGCAGTCCGGAAATAACCGGGATTGCAATAATTTACATCAATTAACTCCCTACTGCGCAATATCCTGAGCGCATCACTACTGATTTTACTATCTGTATTGCACTATTAAATAAATATACCTCCTAGTATTGTACGAAATCGAAACTGTACTAAAATACAATTGACTTAAATATAGTCCTTATTGCCATTGTCTTAAGACCGGCTGAAATGTTGGTTGAAGCGGTACCTACTTCTAAATAGAATATCTTGGATTCAGAAGATTTCCTTAACCACTTGCGCGGATCTCATGAATTTCAAATGAGAATTCAATAAATGAATACCTATATTGTTCACGGCAGGACTCTAGGCGAACTTTTACATTATCTATCTACGTAGAACATCATTAGTTTTATTCCATTAAAGCATGGTACATTTTATTCTCATTTTCTATTTATAATCTTTATTCTTTCATAATTATAACTTACTTATGAAACTACTCGTAGATTTATTGATATTTTTTGTCCAAACAACATTTTACTTTCGTTGTGTGTAACACCCTGAATTTACAAGGCATCATCAATCAGCACTGAGCTGGTTGTACAAAAGTATTCCTTTTAGCTGAATTCTGGTGCCACACTTAAGTAGATAGATTTAAGGATATAAGTGCAGTCTATGTCAGCATCTGGGAAAAAAACGAAGCAAAACTTATGTTAAATAACCAACAATAATACGACAAAACAGAAACTAACATAAATGAATTTTTTAAACACCACATTTCTAAAAATCTGCAGCTGCACTTGTGATAACGTCTCGCCGATATCGTTGCACCAAACATCACCATTCATTCCTTTCTTTGCTTACTCAATATCTTTGTGCCCTAAATTCCTCAGGATAAGGAGGAGGTGGAATGCCACTACGAGGAGAAGAACGAGAATGCAGCAGCACCGAAGTTGGATGTGGAACTCGTAGAGAACAAGTTGCGGGAGACAAGTCTTCGGGAGACGGCGCTTAGAGAGACCAGGATTGATGAGGTGGTCCCGAAGAGAGCGGAGTACATTCACACGCTGGAGGCGCAGAGCAGCGTCGACAGTGATGTCATAGCACACAATGTAAGTGGATTGAGATTTTTAACGAGATAAGATCATCAAAGTGCCCACTGCTGAGCAAAGCTCTTCTCACACTGAGAAGGTTTGAGCATTAATCACCACGCTTGCTCATTGCGGGTTGATTTCAAACTTATAATAGAAATTACTGCCTGCCGTTCGCGAGTGCGACTGCCGGGCAAGGGGTCTCGGTTCGATTCTCGGGTCGGGCAAAATATTACAGGGTTTTCAAAAAAAAATCTCAGTAGTAGTACGGGGTCTGGAATTGTGCCCGGTATATGGCAATAGGCTCACCCCCTATTATATGGGGCTCATAACTAAATAATGAAAAGTACGCAACACCAGAAGAGTTACAAGTGGTTATTGGCCCTTTTTGAGGAAGTGTGGGATTGGCCCTCTCTGCCGCTTTTGCAAACTAATGTAAGAATTAAGTGTGGGAGAGCCATGGTTCAGCACGAAGGGGTCGGCTCGACCGAGTGATACCACGGCCTCACACAAAACCGACGTGAAACAACACTTGCGTTGTGAGTGAAGTTACCGGAGGCTCAATTTCCCCTTCCCTCCTCAGTCTCCCCAATCCCCGAATCCCCCACAATCCTCAAATTCCCAATTCCCAAAAGGCCGGTAGCGCACTTGTAACACCCTTGGGGTTTCGGGTGTCTATGGGCGACGCCGATTGCTTACCATCAGGTGATCCGTCTGCTCGTTTACCGGCTTATTTCATAAAAAAAATTAATAATAAAAATATATGTTACCAGGATACTTCCCTCCTCTGCGCCGAGAGCATTTCCCAGGTGCGAGGGTTTTTGGAGCTGACACTGCTGTATGATGCACCGGTCCGCAGCATGACTGTGCACATTCTGCAGGCGAGGACCCTGCCGCAGAGGAGTCAGGGACAAATACTGCAGAGTCAGGTAACATTACTTATGTAGATAACGTGACATATAACTACCATCAAAGAGGGGGGGCCAAATAGAGCATGAACAAGTTATCAGCTAAAAATGAGTCCAGGTCATGATGGAAGGTACACTGATTTTGTGATGTGAAAGCTTTTTTGATCTAAGCTCATCTCATGTTGCAGGTTCGAGTTGTATTAATGCCATTGAAAAAGCAAAAATACAAGTCAAAGATAAGGAATGGCGAGAATCCACAGTACATGGAGAGCTTCGTGTTCCACAAGATCAACCCGGGTGAGTTGCGTACCTGAAAACTTTACTACTATTTTTTATGGCATATGCCGACCGAGCAGTAAACGATCAGACGGATCACCTGATGGTAAGCAATCGGCGTCGCCCATGGACACCTGGAACAGCAGAAGCGTTACAAGTGCGTTGCCGGCCTTTTGGGGATTAGGAGTTTGAGGATTGTTGGGGATTCGGGGATTGGGGAGATTAGGGAAGGGAGCTGGGCCACCGGTAATCTCACTCACACGACGAAACACAACGCAAGCGTAGCTTCACGTTGGTTTTCTGTAAGGCCGTGGTATCACTCCGGTCGAGCCGGCCCATTCGTGCTGCAGCATGGCTCTCCGACACAACAACGGGGAAATAGGCTGCATTAGGCCTTATTCCTAGTAGTAACTTTGTTTTATGGCCAGTTGACCGTTGGACATTTCTTTATCTCACTATATGTCACTTTGTCATCCCTACTTTTGTTGGCTGTCGTAAGAGCCGACAGGAGACTACGCATATAACAGAGATCGGGCAGTACTTTTCAAATTGCAATCTGCAACTGCGTGGTGAACACTTATGTAGATGCGGCATATAGTCAAGCAGTGACTATATGCCGCATCTACATAAGACTGTCACCTCTTCGAAGCATATTTAGTTTAGGTGCGATATGATATTATTCTAAATCTATAGACGCTAGCTTCTCATGCACGAGGGCGCGGCTTCCACACACAAACCTACCAACGGCAAGTACCAATGTGACTTTTTCGAGTTATACGTATTTTCTAAGATAATTTAGACACCACTGACAAACGGTGAAGGAAAACATCGTGAGGAAATTTGGGCTTATAATTTCTAATTATAAGTCGGAAATCGCCAACCCGTTTTGAGCAACCGTGGTGACTGGTGATTAATGCTCAAAGCTTCTCAGTGTGAGAAAAACCCTTTGGTCATCAGTGGCCACTTATAGGCTGTTGATGTGTGTGTGTGTGTGTGATATTATTCTAATACATAAATTATAGTGTACAAGTATAGTAACGAATTCAACTGATCTCGCGAAACGTTGTAGAAACGAAAACATATTGATTCAACAGACTATACTAAAATTACAGTATACTCCAATATAATATGCTATTCCAGAAATCTGTTTATTTATCCTAAATTCTGTGAACTCCGAGCTATTTGTGGACCGAGTGAAGTATTATCGTAATACTTTGAATTACCTATAGGTATATTAATATATGTAGTCTATATAATAGCAATATCTGCGAGTTATTATAGTAAAATTATCTTATATTATTATTGAAATAGAACTGAAGTAATAAACACAACAATGAGCTTGTTGTTTCTTGAATACTCCGAAGTAGAAATCTTCGAAGCTCTGAAGCGTTAATAAGCAACAACAGCAATCACAACTTAGTAATTCTGGTATACACATTTTGTCTTTTGAAAAAATCTAATAATTTTCTTAATTTTTTAATTTTATTTTCCAGAGGACGTACACGGCCTCGGTTTGCGTATACGCATATACGGCTGCGAGCGCATGCGTCGTCAACGGCTGTTGGGTGAAGCAACTGTCAGCTTTGCCTCACTCAGCCTGGAGATGGAAAACGGCATGTGGATACAATTGACTCCGCGCCAACATCATCCTAGCTTACAAGTTAGCAAGGTAAGTTTGTTTCACCTAAATTAGTGCACTGTTTTTTATAAAATTTTGGAACAGACAGATAAAGGTTGAAAAGAAATCTTTAAATAGTATTTTACTAATATAGGTGAAACCAATTTCGTTATTAGCATTGGTAGATCTATCATCAATTACAATGTACCATACCAGAGAAGATTCTTTCTCTTGCTTACCTTTTAAAAATTAAAATTGACACGGACAGGTTTAAGCTTCAATTCTTCGAAACTTAGTAATTTGTATCTAAACATTTTTTTGTTTTTCTCGTACCAGTTTCCAAAACTGGAGCTGAACCACTCGATGTCAGGTGTGCTGGCTAGTCCATCGTCCATAGCGACGGTGACGACGCCAGGTACAGGTCCTGGCGGAGAGGCGTGCAGTCTAGCGCGGTCAGACTCCGCATCATCCTGCTGCAGCACTAGATCTGCTCCAGAACTACTGCTCGGATTGCAGTATAATTCCACCACCGGCCATCTCTCTGTTGAGGTAGGTCATTACACCTAGAAGTACCTGTTCTACGGAAGCTTGATATTGAAAGCATCATTTACTTGAAGAAATTTGAGTCGCCTGAACTTTAATTACTATCAGAAACTTAACCCAAGTTAGTCGTAGTGGCACAGAATGTAGTGGTAATATTGGCTATGTTCGCGTCGCGTAGTGTTTAAACATTTGCGGAAGCTGTCAAATAATAACAATGTAAACATTATAATTTTCTTTGCAAATATAAATAAAACCAAAGATTAAAATAGTATTGTTGACATTATTTAAGTGCAATTTACTTTTGTTGTAAAATGAATATAATAATAAAAACTGGGTTTGCATAATCCGCATTTGTTTCCAATTTCTGCCGTGTTGTGCGCTGCGGTCGTTATCTGTCCGCGACTACTCGCTGTGCACATAGCCAATACAAACCACGGGTCGAACCTTCTTTGTAAGATATTTTTTTCGGAATCTTTTGAAGGAGATTTATGTTAAAATTGTACTTTCTTTCTTTGTCCATGTATTACTATATCATTTATTATAGGTAATAAAAGGCACCCACTTCCGCAAGCTGTCTCCCAATAAGGCCCCGGATACTTACGTAAAGCTGTGCCTCATCAGCTCTCTAGGCATGGAGATGGGGCGCTGCAAGTCCACCACGCGACGTGCGCAGTCCAACCCGTTGTATAAAGAGCTCTTCATATTTCAGGTCAGACATCTGCTACATAAGTATCAAAGGAAGAAATTTGTAGTGGATGTTATTTTGTGTACCCATTCTCATTTCGATGAACAGACCCATTGCGCCATGATTTCGCAAAACCCAAGAAATGTAATAAAATTGTTGTACTATTTTAGTAATACATAAGATACTTCAATGTCTTCAATTATTTTTCATTTTATCGACTCAATTAAAACGTTATGTACATATGTTGAGGACAACACTGAATTTAAAAAAAAATGTCGTAGTCATTTAGTTTTTCATCATTTGATCATATTTTATGTATCTACGGTTTAACTTTTAAAGTTCTAATGAATTTCACATCTTTGGTTTGCAGGTAGCTTTATTCCAACTGACCGAGGTGACGCTGATGGTGTCGGTGTGGTGGCGGCGCAGCGTCAAGCGTAACGAGATGGTGGGCTGGTTCTCCCTGGGACACAGCCCTTCGGGACGGGAGGAGGAGAGGCACTGGCAGGAACTGTGCGAGCGACAGGGAGAACAGGTAAGATACTGCATGTAAAGAGTGTCGGTTAAGGATTAGCAGAATCATTGCTGTTGTATTGTGTAACATGATCACTATGTCATCGGTCGCTACATGAGTTTGATTTAGTGCTATGATTTTTGTGTAAAAACAGTTTTCTATCGTTGGCTCTTGCAGTGGAAATAAAAATTTTCATTTATAGAAATCGTGTATTTTTATGGCATAAACCGGTAAACAAGCAGACGGATCACCTGATGGTAAGCAATCGGCGTCGCCCATGGACACCTGGAACCCCAGAGGCGTTACAAGTGCGTTACCGGCCTTTTGGGGATTAAGAGTTTGAGGATCGTTAAGGATTCAGAAATTGGAGAGATTAGGGAAGGGGAGGGTAATTGGGCCTCCGGTAACCTCACTCACACGACGAAACACAACGCAAGCGTTGCTTAACGTCGGTCTTCTGTTCCATGGCTTTCCCACACTTAAAACTTGGTATTACTGAAGATACGGTAGCGAGGTCTATTGTGACATGCAGGTGCAGCGCTGGCACGTGCTGCTGGACTCCTGACGCGCGGTGACGTAGCGCGCGGCCTGCGCGCACGCCTGAGCCTCTGTTCCCGCCCCCGGCCCCGGCCCCGGGCCCCGGCCCCTGGGTGCCGGCCCCCTGGGCCCTACCCTGGCCCGCACCCCTGTCGATGTCCGGTGCGTGTCGCTTTCGTTGTTAGCACGCGGTTTGCTTTGCCGCCGAAAGGAGTACTTCGTGTTGTCTCCGTTCGTGGCGTGATGTTTCACTCGGTTGCTCTACCAGCACGTTTCGACTGAGTTTGGTAAGTGAGTACGCGTGTACAGGCGATATGTCGAATCTCAAATGTAATTTCTTCATTGTTATATTAAAAGCTTACATTATTCGTATTAAGTGAGAACGGGAATTGTAATGGTTGAATGCGGTACTTTTTTAACCGGATACTCTTTGCTGACGCTTGGTTTCTGGCTGATGATGTTTTAGATGTTAATTTCTCATTTTGGAAGATTAAACGATAACGTTTTGTAGTATTTATAATGATGATGAAGACTTGGAGCGCACAATACTTGTGAGATAGAATTATGATACTAGAAAGGATATTTATTGAATATTGATATATTATATTGTACCTTGATGTATGACACTGACATTTATTCTAGAACGTCTTGATTATACTCTTCATATATAAGGATGTAAGGAACAATTTTGTATGTATTTGTAACTGGTACGTACCCATTATTCACTCATACATTGAATGTTTTTAAGATAGATTATAAAATATCTCAGGATTTCATAACATTTTACATACATATTAGCTTTGGCATATTTAAAGAAATAGGTAGTAATTACACACTTACATTATACTTTTTTTATAAAATAGTTTCAGAATGTAACTATAACAGTATTATTCCTGTGAATAACAGCTAAATATTAGCATTTTTTTAATAATACGAAGTCTACGATTCTTTCGAAATATTACGAATGTAGTTAACTTTATTATGAATCTACTTTACATAGAAATTTAAATTATATGTCTGTTATTATAATAATGTCCAACCAATTAATTAAGAATTTTATATACTAAAATATATTCATCGCATAATCATTTCAAATAGAAAACGTCAATTTATGACAAAACGCACGAAATATATACACAAATTCTATACAAATATGTAAAACATGTTTACAATTAGATTTATAATTGAATTATAATTAAAATCATAATTATAGTCGTAACAGTATATGCATTTGATTATTATATATAAGCAATTATAATCAAAGTGGATGCCTACATGCGTGTTATTATAAATGAAATATATATAAATAATACAGTCAAAGCGAAAGATAAGAGGTTAGCTTAAATGCGGATCAAATAGATGTTATAACTTATAAATTATAAAAAAAATATTATAAACACCAACATTGAATGTTTAAAAGACGACACGTCTTATAATGTGATTATGTATCAAAATAAAATATACTCTATTTAACCTATAAATAAGATTTAAAATGAAATGAGGGACTTGTACCCACGATTTTAGGCGTAGTGTGCCTATGCATTAAATATCTATACATATTATATATATATATATGTATAACTGAGATGTATGTATTATATATTATTGAGAAATAGATATACCTAAATACGTTTACACGATGTTATCGCTAATACTTTAGCGTTTGAAATGAATACAATAGAACTGTAGGTTTGAAAAAAGAACATAGGTATCATAGATAAAAATTTAAAAATTTAAAAATGTGATCTGTATTCACCAAAGAGTTTCCAATAGGCGTTGCATTTTATTCTTGTACGTGTTTTAACTATGTGCGTGGGCTAAGTATGTAATGTATGAAAATACACACACGCATATATTTCTGTGTTAAAAGTAAATATTATATTAGCTTTTTTAATGTTCCTTGCATTGTTCCCGCTGGTTTGTTTAGTTAACAACAAAATGTGATCTGATATTTGTTGTATCGTAAGTGGCTATGCGAACGTCAAAATGAAGATCATGTCTATTCTGGCCCTCATTAGCAGTAGGAAACTATATCTAAAAAAAAACTAAAGTTGTGTGTAATTGAATTTTTCATTGAAAAAAACATCAATTTTCAAAATATTACTTAAAACAATATATTTTTACATTAAACTCTGCTCATAAAATAATCACCAAAATTAAAAAAAATGTCCTTACGGTATAAATATATAAAGGTTTTAAAAATGTATCTATTAATTCATGATATTTTCGTCGACTAAATTACATTACAGTATTCAATAGTAATTATATTCTACGGGAATTTTCAATACATAATTTATGTTACTAGATACTTTTTTATATATGATAACTATACAAATAATTACCCACTCAGCATATTATATACTCAGAGTTGCTCAGTAATCACGGCTCAATGTCGATATTTTTTTCATCATAGCTTCATTAAACCTGTAGGCTTTATGAGACGACCAATCGTAGTTATCGTATAAGTTTACAGAAATATTATTACATCCATATTTTATAAAATTCATAGCATAGACAAGTTAACGGTATTGCGGTGTCGACATTTATAATTCTCCAGACTATAAACAAAATTAAAATTATATATAAGCAACTATTGTTGAGAATGAATTTATTCAATATTATTTTAATTTAGACTTATAATTACCTCAATTATATCAGATATTGTTTAGGATTGTCAAGTGCAGCACCGCATTATCGTGAACAATTTTTATCATAATCTTTTCATTAAAGCCAAAATAGTACCTGCTCTATATTATAATAGAAAATAGTAATTGTTTATTATAGTGTGAAGAAGTATCTCGTTGTTATAAGCTTCATCAAAAAATACTAAATGTGATAAGTAATTTGAAATATATTGAAAAATAAATATTTTATTATTTTCGTAGAATTAGAGAGGTTCGAGTGCACTGCTGGGTTTAGCAATGGACGTTGCGTTGTTTGTGGTGTATAGTACCATTACTGGTGATAGTAACTGATTATAAATTTTAAGGGGTATCCACTTATTCACATGGTTTAATCAAGATGACATGGCAACTTTTATATATTCCTTTGTTTCGACAAAAATCTAATAATCGTGCATTCAATTCCTTGATTCTTCTATTTGCAATATTACTTCATTCAAGGACTATTTAATAAATATCCCCTTAAACTTTATCCAGTTATGATACAAATATTATGATGTTGTCTGCCCTGTCCAGGCATTATGAAAATTATAGATGTTATTTACAGCGTGTTTGTATTTTTGTCGCACGTCACAGGTGTGGTATTTATAAAATTATATCTGTCAAGTATAATAATTATAATATGTACTTTTTGTAGTTATCTTTAAAGAAAGAAAGAAAGAAAGAAAGAAAGATCATTTATTTGTAAAACATGCGTATACATAAATCGAGTAATCAGACATGCAAGATGTTAAATAATATGTTGTGCGTCCATGTTTCGCCAATAGTGGCATACAAATTTTATAAGTATAAAGATTATATTCAATTTCATTAAAATCAGCAATTTGTACAATAATAGTCCTTATTAAATTACATTACAGAGATAAACATTTGAATTTGATGTCACAATATTTCTAAATTAGGTAGTTACTTATATGATAGTCTAAAATAAATTTCGTCTAGTACATATATCCATTATTACGCAGTCAAATAGTGGTCCTTACAATAGGTCAATTTATTTACAAATCAATACTAAATTATATTATTATGTCCAGTAGGTATACAAAAAAATTATAAAAAATGTACATTTTATTCATATTATTCTTCACCATTAAATATGTTATACGAAGTCTGAATTAGAACGTCTTTTTCATTCAAAAAGTCCTGAACACTGTAATAGGCTTTATTAACTAAAAACCTTCTCAGCTTATTTTTAAAATGTGTCAAGGGTAGTTCTCTCAAAATTTTAGGTAATTTATTAAATATCACAGGCGCCATACAGAAAATACTTTTACGCATTAGGGAAGTTCTCGCAGTATGCGTGCATATCCTACTGTTATCGCGCCTGTTACGTGGGACTATTTCATTTAATAGTTTAAATCGGTGTGGATTCGTTTTGACAAATACAGCTACCTCTAAAATGTACAGACATGGCAAAGTGAGTATTTTATTTTTCTTAAAGTATGGCAGGCAACTATCAGTGGGTTTAATTTTAAATTGGAGTCAGAATGTAATAATTCGTCACTTTGATATAGATGTAGTAAAAGATTTTGTCATTTGGCGAATATAATGCGTATTGTATTGAATATTTATACAATTATGTTTATATCTACATATTTTTTGTAGTGAAAATAGGTTTATGTAATGTATGTATTATTTAATGAAGTATGTAAATGTTTGATGTATTTCCGTTGCACACAAATCATGTTATTTACGGTACACAAACTGTGTTAAATAGAGATATGTATATGATATAGTTGTACTTATATAATATGTATATTTATTGTTTAAAATGTCAACAGAACTTTAGAACATTGTTACCTATTACAAAAATATGTACTTAATGAGAAATTCTCAATAAAATCACTTTATACATTTTTCCTAAATACTTTTTTATTTGTAATCTATGTACCACTTACTATGTATATATATTGTAGTTCATGTTAATGAGTAACACGAAGCAACGAGTTCAATATATGAGAAAATAGCCGCTTTAAAAATTATGTTTACAAAACGTCAAGCGAGCTAAGTAGGTGAGTAAAACTCTAAGAAACTGACATATTAATAAAATAATACATGTTGTGGGGAATATTCGTGCATAAGGAGTCAAGCAAAGCGGGTGCAACCGCGTGGATGTACGCAACATAAATCTTGTACTGAATTAAATATTAAACAGCGGTAAAAACTATTTGCTTAACGGAACGTTCTTTCTAACTACTTTCAACCACTCGGTTGATTTTCCTAAAATTGTATAAGTAATGTGAACAAAGTTATTTAAACGATACTTCTCGAGATATTTCAGTACGTTTAAATAGAGAACAGGGAAACATTAATTATTTTCAATGTCAGGAAAATATGTAAGTATGTAATATTAACATAGATGGCGTTACTTTAGTACGTTCTAAGGCTAGAAATATAAAAACTCGTGTTGTATAGTCCTGGCTTGCGAGACATAGGCAGCCAGTAGTTTAGTGCCACGCTGAACCGACAGATGTCACTGTGCTGATGACGCGCATTTCTGAATCGCGGTGTTAAGATTCTCCGCGAATGAATGACCCTCCCCGGTTTGCCACCATTTGGTATCGCTTCTCGGCCTTTTGGCTAAGATCAAAGTGTAGTATCTGTTCTTTTCAGCTTAATATCTGAAAGTTCCCTCAATGAGGGACCAGTATATTAAACTGATTTTTGTAAACTGACAGGATGTTCGGGGCTCGCTCCACTCCCGTCACGGGTCGGCCCGGCATTGCAGTGCCGCCGGGATCGGCCCACAGATTTACTTGAAAATTATCATCAATTGCAATTTAACTTTAACTAACCTGTACATCATTATGAGATAATGTGTTAAAATATAAATAAACTATAGGCCATCTAGATATTTAGAAAAGTCTTGACACTTGTTCACTAAAGTCCAAAGCGGCGTTAATAATTTGTTAAAACCTAAGTAATATAGTTGAGGGCGGTAACTTTCAACGCTGATTTTCTGAATTAAAGAAAATAATATCGTCGAAAAAATGTCGTGGTGGCCCGGAGGGTTAAGACGCCCACTTCTCATGCATGTGGGTGCGGGTTCGAAACCTACCAACGGCAAGTACCAATGTGACTTTTTCCAAGTTATATGTACTTTCTAAGATTATTCAGACACCACTGATAAACGGTGAAGGAAAACATCGTGAGGAAACCTGGGCTTATAATTTCTAATTATAAGTCTGTAATCGCCAACCCGCATTGAGCAAGCGTGGTGATTAATGCTCAAACCTTCTCCGTGTGAGAAGAGGCTTTTCTCAGCAGTGGGCATTTATAGGCTGTTGGTGATAAATAATGATGCGTTGCGGTGTCGACTAAAGGTCTCTGGCGTATAATTATAACAGTTAATAATCTTCTACAAAATATGTAACAAACTTTATACTATGTAGGTAACTTTAGGTGTTAAAGTTGGGGTTAGCTTCATTCGTATTAAAATGGTTTTTAAATGCCAACAACATATTAACAAGTTTGTTTCTGATGTAGGTTTTGAGTGCGAGGTAAATGTAGAATAATATTTCTAAGAAACTGATCCAGCTGAAGCCCATATACACATGAATTTAAAAAAATATACATTTTGCATTCAAAAATGTCTATACGTTTATTTATTCATATTTGTACTCCACAAAAATATGGCAGAATGTCATTGAAAAAAAATGGGAAAATCATGTAAACTAGGTACCTATTTATTAAAATATGATTTATAGCCCCTTTGACCTTGACAATATAGCACTATAAACAATTTAAATCAGATAAAGATATAAAAATGTAATTATTCACATTTGCAATAATTACAAAAGGAATTTTGTGATAAATATTTAATTACTGCTATTATAATCGAAATACGTTAAAAATTTAAACGGAAACCGAATGACCTAGTGGTCTCGTAAATTGGAGCCGAAATAAAATGGATAACTTTAGGCGTTTTTTGCGAAATTACTGCTTGAACAGCACAATAGTAGGTCTCAAATACTTCTATATCTATCCGGATATATTATCAAGGTGGGTATATTATAAAAGTATCTAGGTATTCTTTAATCTACTTTTCAATAACCCTCAACCACAATCAATTAATAGTGTGAAGTTTGTTAACTGCAAAAAGTTTGTGTGCCTGTCAGTTATTGAGTAAGTGTCTACATAATCTCATCGAAAATAAAACAAATCACAATCCAATTTTTTAATTTTTATTATGTTTGGTATGCGAAAGTATAACAAATAACAAAGAATCAGATCTTTATTTTTTATTATGCGATTACTGATTTATCAAGTTAAACAAAATTTAGCAAACTTCACCAAGAATGCCAAGGCGCTAGTTAAGTTAGTGTAATTTATTCGTTCTATTTTCTTTACACAGATGCTTCTGGGCAGTAAACATGATATCAGTGTTGGCCATGTCTTTTTCTATCACCTACCTTCTATATAATCGTTTTGAAGTAATGCCGACGAGAATCGCCATTGAGAATCAGTTTGAGCCAATAAATAGCCTTCCCTACCCTGCCATCACTATGTGTACCCCAAACCAGATAACCCAATCTGCCCTGGAATATTTCAACACTACGCTTATGTGAGTTGACCTTTTTTTAAATAATACATATATATCTTCATAAGTGATCAGTTGGCTAATGATCACAGTGTATAAAGATAAGCAAAGAAGAATTTTGTTCAGCAGTACGGAAGAAATCTACTATAATAGAATTTCATTTCCTTTAATACTATAATTTATTTCATTTCCTTTGCAGTGAGGGTAACAGAACTGAATTGGAAACGTATCTACCACTAGTTTTAGGTTTATACGAATTTGTGAGTCTCACAAATCGTACCGCGAATTTATTGAAAAATTTCCAGGATTTACTAGAAATGAACAGATTCACTGTGAGTTAATTCAATTTATTTATGTTCTCACTGAATTTAGCTTCACAATGAGTAAATTAAATTATGAGCTTTTAAATTGTTAACTGACTGTTTTTTTTTACTTATTGGAAGTTTTGGATGTATTTTTCATCAATTTAACTCGTCGAGTACCGGTTTTATAGACACAATTAAAGAACAATAGGTCGCGGTCACCGGTGACCGCTTGGTGTTTGACAGTTTAATATTCATTTTATTGATTAGTTTTCATTGAAAAGATTCCAGATTTGCTCAGTCGTGTCCCTCAAAAATGTGAAAACTTTCTGAAGCGCTGTTATTTGGAAGGCAAGCAGTATAACTGTTCAGACCTCTTCAAACCTATTCTAACCACTCACGGATACTGCTGCAGCTTTAACAATATCTACATGTTTAATGGCAAAATGTAAGTGTACCAAGTAAGACTCATGCCATACGTCTTTTTTTTAAGCGGGGAAAAATCATCGAATGACTGCTCCCGCCTGGGTGAGGCGGAAGGGAGTGTCAGACTCTTACTGACTATAAACCACCCCGTTCCTTCTCCTGCACGTCGAGCCGGAGCCCCGGTTACCGTTAGGGTCTCGGCGACATGCCATACGTCTATGAATTTGTGATTACGTTGTTATCAATTCCTATTGAGTAACATGCAGTGTACGTTATGATTGTATTGCTCTTGTTTTGTAGGAATGTCAAAAACCGAAACTTTGTCAACCGCTATGTAAAAGCTACTGGATTCACGAAAGCATTGATAGTGGTCATAGACTATGATGAAGAAGACGCTATGAATGCTACATTACTCTACGGTGGATCAACACCGGTAAGGTAACCTACTTATTAATAAAAGTTGTACTTACACATAAAAATTGTTAAAATAAAATATTAAATCACACTTGTCTTCTACCGGAACATTTAGAAAGAAAGAAAAATAATTTATTTAGTTTGCATGATGCTTTTGTGTTTTGTCATTGTCGTCATCTGATCCTGATGATTGTGGTCTTACTTTTAGGTGATGTACACTGATTGGTCAGAATTTCCATCCGACGACGAATTGTTTATCCACGATAATTATGGCGAGTCGTTCCACATCTTGTCTGCTACTTACACATATTGCTCTGAAGAAGTTAAATCGCTGCCTTTGTGGAGGTAGGGCATACTATTTATCACCTTTTTCTATCATAAAACTTTACCGTCACATATTTTGACTTTCACAGCGTTAACAAATACCCGCCTCCATCACATTGCCTGGTGAGAACAGGCCCTTTTTTTTAGAAATATCTACAATTTCTATGTTTACCTTCTTCATTAGCCATTAATTTTTAGAGTATAGGAAAACCAAGTAGCCTTCAATCGCCGTCGTAGTGTCAAATTTTTGAATTCAATATTTTACTTGCCGTAGTATTTGCTCAGTCAGTCCGCAAACCCTTCAAATGATTAGACGGTTCCATAATAAGTTATTTGTAATTTACTTGTAACGGTGCAAAGAAACTGGTATTCTTTTTTTTCTTTCTTTCTTTCTATAAATAAACTTATTTTCTTTTTTCCAGCCGGAATTGCTTCTTTGATAACGAGTACCACTTGGAAAACTTTTGGTACTACCGTAAATCGGATTGTACCCACTTGTGTTATGCAAATGCGGTGAAAAAAACGTGTAATTGTACTCCTGTCTTCATACCTCACATCAAGCGGAATCCCTGTAAACTCGTTAATATTCCCTGTGTTATTGCAGTACGATGTAAGTGCATAATATTTTAACTCGTCGAGTACCGGTTTTATAGACACAATTAAAGAACAATAGGTCGCGGTCACCGGTGACCGCTTGGTGTTTGACAGTTTAATCGTTAAGAAAACATCATCATTGGCAATTGGGGCCTATAAAACCTCTACTATTGTGCCTTCTCCGATTAGTACATGTTCCTTGCATGCTATCACTATATAACTATAATTCATGGTACACCTTTTATCAATACCACCAGGGCAAATCATGTTAGGATTATTATGTCACCTTTCAGGGAATACGTCTAATTGGTTGACGTCGGAAAATTGCCCGTGTCTACGCGATTGCGAGTCACGCAAATACCGCGGTGATGTGACCTTGGGAAACTTCAGGGCTGTACCCTATGTACTCAACAATCCATAGCAAGTACCTAATATTACCCAATCTATAATAATTTTTCGTAAATCTTAACCATAATGTAATCTTAATATTCGTTTACCAATAGAGCAATCGCCGTAATCGTTATCGGTCGGATTAGATCTTAAATTAAAATTAATCTTTTAACTTTGTGGTGTTCACAGCACAGAGAGTTCTGAGAGAACACAAAAGTTATTTTTCTTTCTATTTTTGTTACTTTTTGTGTAATTAAGTATGGTTCTATTTGCAGTAAAGGTTTGGTTTTGAACAATACTACCAGTGCGCTTCATTTCTTCTTCTCGACTCCGGTGTTTTTGAAGCAAAAACAAGAAACTGTTATGTCCATCATCAGCTTAGCTTGTAAGTATTGATTTCTTACAATTTGAAACTCGATTAAGCCGGCTCCTGATTAAAAAACCATCTTATTACTTGGACCTCATAACACCACATACCTCAGTCATTGCATCGAACATTTCTGGCTTAAAAAAAGCTTTTGATTCAAAGGAAACCTGTGAAGATCGAATGGTAACTATGGATCGGAAAATGTAGCGTGAGCAGCATAATTATAAAATTTCTCATACATGAATAGTATTATTCATGGAAGAGCATTAATGTGACATAAAATAATCCTTACTAATATTACAAATCATAAAGTGAGTTTGTTTGTTTGTTCCCACTTCACGCCGTAACTACTAAACCGATTGCGTTGAATTTTTGCAGACGTAAAGTAAGTAGTCTGGATTAAATAATAGGGTACTTTTTATCACGAAAAAATTTGATATTCCCGAGGGAAAATAAAAGTATTGGTATAGATGGCGCTGTATGTATTGGTATGTCACATAGGCTACTTTTTATCCTTTTTTGACGCGAGCGAAGCCGCGGGTAAAAGCTAGTTATATATACATGTCTCGGGACACGTGATAGTCTTAAATAACCACAGCGTATTATTTTCAGCTAATCTGGGAGGTGTTTTTGGCCTGTCCTTGGGTTTCAGCTGCATCAGCTTCTTAGAAATATTATTCTACACTTACCTCGGACTCAGAAACTACATTAAAAATCGTTTGAATATAAATTACGAATCTGAACCTTAAAGACTGATGTTATGTGTCATTTTAGTACAAGTAATTATGTTGTTTAGGTCACATCTAAATCTAATACTGAACAGCATTTATGGTCATGCAAACTAAACGTGTATGCAAATTGCTACCTCAATCAGTTGAGAATCTGCTTCAAAATTTTGTGTCTGGAGTCTGGACCCCCCTTCATACATACATTGCAAATTAAATAAAAACTTTTAAAACGACTACGAGTGTTTTATTCTTAAAATAGTTTGCTTTAGATTTTAGTAACCACCATTCTTGTGATTTATTAAAATATATTGTGACTGTATTATTAGGAGATACATTTTACTTGGTTTGGTTCCCTTGTGGTTTTAGTGTATATATAATAACTATCGTGACTCCTAAGATTCCGCGTAAACTTGTCATAAATAAGAGTCCCAGAGTAACTTGAAACTAGTAGAGCTATCCTCGAATAGTTCATGTGAGAGTTAGTTAGTTGAGATTATTGATAATGCATTTTATTTGGCATAAACGGCCGTTGTTAATATATAAATAAATGGCCGTAGGTACGTTCGTTGACCTTGAAAATGCAGGGTGCGACATTTAATTATCCACATCCGCTTTAAAAATGTATTTTTTGGAATATTAATTAGTATTCGTGACAAGTACTGTTATAAATATTGAATAGCATTAATAAAATTGGAACTGGAACTCTTTAAAAGGGTAAACGGAAACCGCATGAATTTAATGATCTGGCTAATTGGAGCCGAAATAAAATGGATAAATTTTGGCGCCTTTTGCGAACTTACTGCTTGAACAGTACAATTGTAGGCCTTAAGTACTTCTATATCTATTCAGATAGATTATCAAGGTGGGTATATTCATAATATTCGGCTATTTTTGAATTTCTTACTTATTTATTTATTTATACTTTATTGTACATACAGAAAAAATTGTAAACATTGCAATAGTAATATATTACTTAAATATCTGTTGAAAATATAAGTCTGGGAATGATATTCCAAATTGCAAAGAAAAATGTGGAAAATCATCCACAAGTTAAATCTTGTTCCTCACACAGATGCTTCTGGGTAGTGAACATGATATCAGTGCTGGCCATGTCTTTTTCTATTACCTACTTTCTGTACAATCGTTTCGAAGAAATGCCGACAAGGATCGCCATAGAAAATCAGTTCGAACCAATAGAAAACCTTCCCTACCCTGCCATCACTCTGTGTACCCCAAATCAGTTAACCCAGTCTGCCCTGGAATATTTCAACAGTACGCTTATGTGAGTTGACCATTTTGTAAATTGTATGTATATATACAATTTATTACCTAAATAATATATATAATATATAAAGGTAACATATTATGTTACCTATATGTCTTTATAAGTGATTGCAACGTGATCGCACTGTAATATTTCCTTCGTAGTTGGCTAATCTAGTTAGACTGGCCACCATGATCGAAGTCGATCGGGAGCCTTTATTTATTTATTTTATACTAGTTTTTACCCGCGGCTCCGCTCGCGTCACAAAAGGATAAAAATCCAATGTGACATATACCAATATATACAGCGCCATCTATACCAATACTTTTGTTTTCCCTCGGGAATATCAAATTTTTCCGGGATAAAAAGTACCCTATTATTAAATCCGGACTTCTAACTATACATCTGCAAAAAATCATAGCAATCGGTTTAGTAGTTATGGCGTGAAAGTGGAACAAACAAACAAACTCACTTTCCGATTTATAATATTAATAATTAATAGTAAGGATAAATTTTTGTTCATGGAAGGAGTTTGAAGGAGAAGGGGTCTTCATTTTGAAAGAGTATTTGTTTTTTTTCTTTACAGTGAGGGTAACACAACTGAATTGGAAACTTATCTACCGCTAGTTTTAGGTTTATACGAATTTATTAGTCTCACGAACCAGACCGAAAATTTATTGAAAAGTTTCCAGGATTTACTAGAAATGAACAGATTCACTGTGAGTTTTATTTAATTTATTTATGTTGTTATGATTAAATAAATGTGGCTTAACAACAAGTAAATTATTATGATAGTACTATTGACTGTAGCCTATAGTAAAATTTTTGATTTTTATAAAATTCTTGAATTTTCGAAAATTCTTCGTAGGTAAAACAGCTCTTGGGAATGGCTAGACAGGAGTGATAGCACGCCCTCACGGCAAATCGGCGTAAAACATCGTTTGCGTTGTGTTTCTCGGGCGTTTAGTTACCGATCGCCAATCTCCGCCCCGTCCCCAATCTTCAAATCACTAATCCCTAAATCGGAGGAGTTACAAATGCATTGTAACTTCTCCCGTGTTGCGGGTACCCATAGGTGGTACCGTCCACTCGTTAGCCGTGCCAAAGCGAGCCCAGTAGGTATACAATTACCCCTGTTCATGAGACTCACAACATAACTGGTGATGTTACATTAAATATCTGATCTTCAATATGTGCAAATTTTTTATTGATTTGCTTTAATTTCCGAAGATTTCAGATTTGCTCAGTCGCGTCCCTCAAAACTGTGAAAACTTTCTAAAGCGCTGTTATTTGGAAGGCAAGCAGTATAACTGTTCAGACCTCTTCAAACCTATTCTAACCACTCACGGATACTGCTGCAGCTTTAACAATGTCTACATGTTTAATGGAAAATGTAAGTGTACTAAGTACTCTTTATCAATTTATATGAGCAACATACAGTGTATGTTATGATTGTATTGCTCTTGTTTTGTAGGAATGTCAAAAACCGAAACTTTGTCAACCGCTATGTAACAGCTACTGGATTCACTAAAACGCTACTAGTGGTCATTGACTTTCAAGAAGAAGACGCTATAAATGCTACAATGCTCTACGGTGGAGCAACACCGGTAAGAAATACCTACTTATTTAGTATATTTAAACACATGAACATAATTAATTAAAATGAAGGTATGTATAATCACACTTGTCTACTACCACGGTAATATTATCATAGAGGCTCAGTTCTCTATTAAATATTTCCAGCAGATCTACCCACTTGTACAAACACGCAGTCCTTATGCAGATTAATGGCTATAGAACTGAACTGAAGCGGAAATGGAAATCAGCTATGAAGTCGAGGGTCGAACTGTAGGGAGAAGACAGTCTCAAAGTCTGTCATATCAAGAAGAATACCATGTTTGAACTAGAGACAAGATTCGTAGACATAATTTAAGCATGGCCCCATGACAAGGGGTCGAGTTTGGAAATCAACCGAAAATTCTTCGCTTATTTCTCTACGCTCTCGGTTCACCTTCGTTCTCCTGGTCTACTCTAAACCTGATGATTGTAGCTTTACTTTTAGGTGATGTACTCAGATTGGTCAGAGTTTCCGTCGACGACGAATTATTTTTCCTCGATAATTATGGCGAGTCATTCCACACCTTGTCCGCTACTTACACATATTGCTCTGAAGAAGTCAAATCGCTGCCTTTGTGGAGGTAGGGCATATCTTTTATCACGATTTTTGTTATAAAACTTTATTAGGTCTAATATTTTTACATTTACAACGATTACAAATAATAAGTAAACTCGTTACCTTTTTGCAGTCGGAATTGCTACTTTGATAACGAGTACCACTTGGAACACTTTTGGAACTACCGTAACTCGGACTGTACCCACTTGTGCTATGCAAGTGCAGTACAAAAAAGTGTAAATGTACTCCCGTGTTCATTCCCTACATCAAGCGCAATCCGTGCACACTCGTAAATATTCCCTGTATTGTTGCGGTACGATGTGAGTAGTTAATATTTAAATGGCTAAAGAAGCATCATCGTTATCACCACTGGGGTCTAATGACGGATAGGTATTCGCTTGTATGTTATTTTAATGCATGCCTTTATCATCAAACAAGGAGTACCGTACTAGATAATTACACTTAATCTTAAACAAATTTCTTATAGGTGATTCTTAAACATTTCCAAAACGATTTTTTAGTTGAATTAGTTTTTCTACAAGACATTAAATGTCATGGAATTGATTCAGGAACAGCCAGGATGTCGTGTCGCGTATCCACTTATTTCTTATTTTTACCCAGAAAATTGTGAAACGCACATTACCCGGTCAACTCATGCAATTTCACCTTTCAGGGAATATGTCTAATTGGTTGACGTCAGAAAATTGCCCGTGTCCACGTGACTGCGAGTCACGCAAATACCGCGGTGATGTGACCTTGGGGAACTTCAGGGCTGTACCCTATGTTCTCAACGATCCATAGTATGTACCTAATATTATTCAGTTTTTGAAATTTTTCGTTCGTCAACCAATGGAGCAATAGCCGTCATCGTTATTGGTTGGATTGAGTCCTTTAACATTCGATCTAGATGTTTAGTATAATATAGTTTAGTTCACTAAACTAATCTGTCAACTTATAGTTGGTGTAGTTACAAAGACAGAGAGAGCACAAAAGCTCTTTATTCTTCTTTTTATTTATGTTACTTTACGTGTTATGTTTCTATTTGCAGTAAAGGCTTGGTTTTAAACTACAGCACCAGTGCGCTTCATTTCTTTTTTAATAACCCGGTGTTTTTGAAGCGAAAACAAGAAACTGTTATGTCCATCATCAGCTTAGCTTGTAAGTACCGATTTTATACGACCTGTTTAAACCATTTTATCACTAGCACCACATAGGTTCGTTTTCGTTTAACCATGTTTCACCAAACTATACCAAAGACAAAACAACTAAAGATCTCTGCACAGAGCCGTCGGTTACCGTCGCGTCGGGCGGGACGGCGCGGCTCTGTGTGGCGTCGTCGTCCGTAATATCTAGTACATTACAATTGCTCAGGTCGCGTAGCCGTCCCGTCCCGCCGCGCCGCGCCTGCTGTGTTCACAGACCTTAAGACAAAGATGTTGAATTAAGTAAAACCGCGGGTTACTCACGTGAATATACTGAGAAAAGCTCTACTAGTTTAGTCAGTGAGCTGCGCGACATCGCCGCGACCGCGCACGCTGCTCATGAGGAAGAACCCCTGTGGTTCGAAACTAGTAGAGCTTTTCTCAGTATATTCACGTGAGTAACCCGCGATTTTACTTAATTTAGTATGTTAAGTCTCACGATAGTTATTATAAAAACACAAAGATGTTGATTCAAAGGAAACCCGTGCAGATCAAGCTCCGCGAATCGGAAAACGTAGCGTGGACAGGCTTCTTGCATTTCACACGGAGTGTCAAATTTCTCATACCTATTCATGGAGGATTATCCACATATTTATTGTCATCTTTGCTGAAATTTACGAAAAATAAGCGAAATAGGTCCGATACATCAAGCCAAAACGTGCGATTTTTTTTTTCTTTTTAGCTAATTTTAGCTCACGTCACGCAGAGTTTAATTAAATAATTAAACTCTTTATAAATACGATGCAATGCATCAGCTGCACGCATGCCCGTAACATTCCTAGACAACCTACAACACTGTAACTATTCTGTGGACAAGGTACCTGCAGCTGTGCGCAAATAATGTTATACTTGATTTATTTCGTTTGAAAATATTTCAATATTTTCATTTTCGGTTTTCGTTGAATTATTTGTGTTTTTTATTCTTCTGTGGACTTACTTGTAGTTTCATTTAACACATGGGTGATCCCCATACTGTATTAATGTCTCGGAATCGGAACACGGGATGATAAAAATAACAAGCTAAATCACAATTGACATGTTTTTGTTTAGTCCTAAATAACTTCAGCGTTTTATTTCCAGGTAATCTGGGAGGAGTTTTTGGGCTGTGTTTGGGTTTCAGCTGCATCAGCATCTTAGAAATATTGTTCTATATCTACCTTGGACTCAGAAGCTATATTAAAAATCGTTTAAACATGAATTAAACAAATCTGAACTTTAAAGACCGATGTTATGTCTCATTTTAGTAGAAATATTGATCAGGTTAAATGTACTAAAATCTAGCAAGTTATTCAGTAATCCACTTCACGCACACATACATACATACATTCTTACACATATAAGTTGATATGTATCTATATGTGATAAATACGTTGCAAGTTATATAAAAAGCTAGTAAAAAGACCATAGGTTTTTTAGTGAAAGTTTCTATTCATACGGTACTGCGCCTAAATGTAAAGGACGTTTAATTTAGATTTTTAAAAATATATCTGCGTTATTAACTACTAGATATATACATTTAGCCTAGTATCATTTGACGTCATTGCTGCATCGTCTATTACTTTTGATTTCCTTGTGATTTCTGTGTATTAACAATAACATGATGCAACCTTTTCATAAATAAGAGTCCCCGAGTAACTTGAAACTAATAGAGCTTTCCTCGAATATTTCATGTGGGTGAACCGTATAATTAATTATTCATTTGAGATTGTTAAAAATGCATTTCATTTTAAATAAACGGCTGTAGGTATGTTGTATGACCCTGAAAATTAAATACAGGGTGCAACATTATATTATTCACATCAGATATATAGAAAGTGTAATTATTGATAAGATAATAATCAGTATTCGTGACAAATACCGTTTTAATTATTTAATTGCATTGCTTATAAAAGTGGAACGGGAACATTTTAACTTTGTAAACAGAAACCAAAACAAATTTTAATGATCTGGTAAATTGGAGGCGAAATAAAATGGATAAGTTTTGGCGCCTTTTGCGAACTTACTGCTTGAATAGTACAATTGTAGGACTTAAGTACTTCTATATCTATCCGGATAGATTATCGAGGTGGGTATATAATGTAAATAATATAATATTAAAATAATATGAATGAAATTGTTGAAACTTCTCCAAGGTTAAATCTTGTTCGTCACACAGATGCTTCTGGGTAGTGAACATGATATCAGTGCTGGCCATGTCTTTTTCTATCACCTACTTTCTGTACAATCGTTTCGAAGAAATGCCGACAAGGATCGCCATAGAGAATCAGTTCGAACCAATAAAGAGTCTTCCCTACCCTGCCATCACTCTGTGTACCCCAAACCAGATAACCAAATCTTCCCTGGAGTATTTCAAGACCACACTTATGTAAGTTGACTATGTACTTTACGTAATAAACCTTTTTTACCGTACTAGTACTTACTTAAATATTCAAACACAAATTGTATCGATTTTTCATTACCATAAAATATTTAAAAATAATCACATTACTTTATTTAATGATAAACTATATATATTTTTCTTTTAATATTTTAGCAAAATTATGTGTGAAATAAGTTGACGAATGACGCTTAATTACGATCTCATAAAAAAAACATACAATGTTATAATAGATCTGGACATTTTAATTAAAGTATTGAATTTGATACAGTTGGAAACAAGACGTTAATTCTTCAATTTATAATAAATACGATACCTCTTTTACAATGCGTCTGGATGAAATAGATACTTAAGTGATTATATATTGTTTTATATATATGTTATTTTGAAAGTGTAATTGCCATTTTTTTATTTACAGTGAGGGTAACAAAACTGGTTTGGAAACATATATACCGCTAGTTTTAGGCTTTTACGAATATATTGATATTACGGACCAGACACGTGACAAGTTGAAAAGATTCCAGGACTTGTTAGAAAAGAATAGATACACTGTAAGTATTACCTAGTCGGTAGTCAGTCAAGGCTCGATACTAATGTATTTCGGTAGATACTGTGAGTTGAAGCGAATGCTATAATTATAGCCAAAGTTACCACATAACATAACATCACGCCTTTTATCCCCGAAGGGGTAGGCATAGGTGTACATTATGCCACTGTTCAATGTAACACCCACTTTACACTATTTATGTTATGAGTTCCATGTAATAGGGGGTGAGCCTATTGCCATATACCGGGCACAATTCCAGACTCCGTACTACTACTGTGAATTTTTTGAAAAATCCAGTAACACTTTGCCCGAAACGGGGAATCGAAACCGAGACCCCTTGCCCGGCAGTCGCATTTGCGACCACTCGGCCAATGATGCAGTCAAATTAACCAATCTCCCCAATCCCTGAATCCCCAACAATCCTCAAATTCCTAATTTCCAAAAGGCCGGTAACGCACTTGTAACGCCTCTTGTGTTCCGACTGTCAATATACGGCGCCGATTGCTTAGCTTGCTTGTCATCAGGTGATGCGTCTGTTCGTTTACCGGCTTATTCCATAAAAAAAACTGGTTTCTCAGTTTGCTGAAGTTAATTGCAATAATTATACTGCTTATTTTTCTTGGCTATTTCCATAGCATGTAACTTTGATAACTATTTACATTTTACATGCTATTACTTTATTCTTTCATTTGTACAGGTTCCAGAGTTACTGAGTCGTGTGCCCCAAATGTGTAAGAGGTTTCTGAAACGCTGTTACTTAGAACGCAAGATGTACAATTGCACAGACCTCTTCAAACCGATTCTAACCGCCCGCGGGTACTGCTGCACCTTTAATAATAACTATATATTTAATCACAGAATGTAAGTTATTTTCGAGTATTTGAGTATCCTTACTATTACTATTACTATATATTACTATATTACTATTTACTATATTTACTTTTCCTATATAATATTATAAATCAGAAAGTGAGTTTGTTTGTTTGTTTGTTTGTTCCGCTTTCACGCCGTAACTACTAAACCGACTGCATTGAATTTTTGCAGGCGTTAAGTTAGAAGTCTGAATTAAATAATAGAGTACTTTTTATCCCGGAAAAATTTAATATTCCCAAGGGAAAACGAAATTATTGGTATAGATGGCGCTGTGAGTATTGGTATATGTCACATAGCTCCTTTCATCCTTTTGTGACGCGAGCGAAGCCGCGGGTAAAAGCTAGTAGTATAATAACTATCATTAGATATGCTAAATTAATTGAGATGACTTACTCTCGAAAGCTCTACGAATTTCAAGTCACATCCATATAGTCATTTCCATTAGCAGCATCTTGGCCAGTCATAATCAGTACCTACGTCGCCTGAGGAGCTAGTGTTGTCAAGTGCATTGCGGGTATCGCGGAATAAAGAATACTACGGGACGAAATGTCCCCCAGTAAAAATGTGGACTTTTTAAAACTCTTTATTACTTGCGTCTGAGTTATCGTGGATTTGACTACGTCTCTTGACACCTCATTAACATCTAAGTATATTTGTGTAAAAAAGTGACGATTCTTATGTCAAAGAAGGACTAGTAGATAGATACTACATAACTAAAAATCGGGGATGTATGCAATCGATGCAAAGTGACTAAATTAACATAGGCTCTGTTTTGTAGGAATACCAGAGACCCAAACTTCGTGAACCGCACAGTGAAAGCTACAGGATTCACTAATGCTCTGGTAGTGGTCACTGATTACGAAATGGAAGACTCTATCACTGGCACACTATTGAACGCTGGAGCAGTCCCGGTACATTATTTAACTTTTATGCATATAACACAAACTTAGCCACACCATTTGTCAGGTTTGTATAGAAAGTTCTGGACATTGATAACTTTCTAGCTTTACTTCTAGGTGATGTACACAGATTGGACCGAGTTTCCATCAGATGACGAATTAACTTATATCGATGGCTACGGCGAGTCATTCCATATCATCTCAGCTACTTACACGTACTGCTCTGATGAAGTCAAATCCCTGCCTGTGAGAAGGTAGGGCAACATAATGACTTGTTACTTGTTATCCTTCAAACAGCTTTGCCTCGCGATATAATTTTTTCTTTTGTAATTGAAAGAAAATCTTTAGGAGAACGTAGATATTTATGTAAACCGTTGTTTCTTTTTTTCAGTCGAAATTGCTATTTTCCTGACGAACATGTTCTAGATCACTTTTGGAGCTACCATAACTCGGATTGTGACCATCTGTGCTATGCAAATGCGGTGAAAGAGGCTTGCAACTGCACTCCTCCCTATATACCGCACTCTGGTAGAAGCTTATTCTGCACACTCGTAGATATCCCCTGTATTATTGATGTAAAATGTAAGTGCCATGTAACATAACATACCGTTGTTGTAATAATTGGACTACGTCCCTGCTGAGCACAGGATGATGGGTCCACTTATGAAAAACTTAAACATCTTACCAAAAATTTTAAAAACCCTGCAGGCCGTCATCTATAATGTTATGTTCAACCTATTGAATGTCGTTATATGACACACAATCAAAATACATTATGTATCACGTAGATCTACGTTCAGCATACCAGGGGCTATAAGTGAAATTTTAAATTGTCTGGTGTTGTATTATAGTGTAGATGCCTAATTTTTATTTTAATGTCCGTTTGGTAGAATATTTTAAACCATTAGATACGTATTTTTTATTTTCTTACAGAAATGAATACTTTCGACGATATATTGATTTGAAATGTCACTACATTTTATGTACATTTTTTACGTAGAAATGACGTTTAGCTCCCACTCCTGAACTTTGATTCGTTTTATCTAAGTATTATTTTTATTATACAACAAAATAAAAAATACGTGTCTAGTATTTTTTCATTGCCTAACTGACGGACTAAATAGATTTTTAATTTTTATACCCCGTCATCATCCCTATTGCATAAAAATACCTAGTACAAATAATTTTTCTACTACTCCAAATTTTATGTTTGAACATTTCATATTATTTTCAGGGAATATGTCCAATTGGTTGACAACGGAAAATTGCATGTGTCTACGAGATTGCGAGTCACGGAGATACCATGGTGAAATGAGTTTGGGAAACTTCAAGGCTATTCCTTACACAATTAAAAATCTGTAGTAAGTAATTGAAACATACAATTAGGCTGATAAAAAGAGAGCGTATTATAACATGGTTTCCCTTTCCGCATGAGCAAGTGAAACAAGTGAATTGATTTCTGCAAATAAGCCTATTTGCGGAAATAAATAAATTTTATCAAGCGAACGATGAGGCCGACATTGCCTAACTGACTACTCTGAGAAGACATGCCGAAATAAACTCAGAGGTCTGTCTCTTTAAAGTCCAGATAAATGTGTATAAAAGATTATGTGTGAGAACCGTGCAAGTTCTTTCTGTAGTGGCCTTTTGAGGAAAGAACCACAACAGTTTGAGCGGACCCGTTCTGAAGGCAGTACGCAACGCATATGTCATTTACAATCAGCTCAATTAACAGGTGAGGCTGACTGATTCGACGAACAATACCAACCTAAAGAACATTTGCGTGGGTCGCACAAATACTCAAACTGTCAGAATATGGGTAATTAGAAAAGAAATGGCGAGGCAGTCTCGCACGGTCCTTGCACTAACAATTGTAAAAAATAAAAAGTAAATATCAAGAGAGAGATAAAAATAAAAATTTCGACGAAGTCGTTTTAACACAGCGCTAATCAATCTGAATCATGAGATTAAAAATTACCTCTCGACTGAAGTTTGAACAGATCACACATTAAAATAGTTTTTTTTTAAGTTTTCGATTTTGTGCACACGGCGCTAGTGAGACGAAAATTAGCAAACATTCTATTGTTCAAAAGATCTTAAGTTCCACTAGCCTCTAGTTGTACGAAAATCCTACATACATACATAACATCACGCCTTTTATCCCCGAAGGGGTAGGCATGTACATTACGGCACTTAACTCTTTGAGTACTGTCATTGTAGACACAATTAAAGAACAATAGGTTGCGGTCACCGGTGACCGCTCGGTGTTTGACAGTTTAATGCCACTGTACAATGTAATACCCACTTTTTACTATTTATGTTATGGGTCCCATGTAATAGGGGGTGAGCCTATTGCCATTCACCGACGATATGCCATATACGAAAATCCTCAATTACTAATTTTCGCTTTCGTGGTATCTGTGAACTCTCTCTCAACTTATATGTTTCTAAATGTTTATTTGCAGTGATGGCTTGGATTTAAACAACAGTACCAGTGCATTTCATTTCTTCTTCCCCAACCCGACGTATTTGAAGCAAAAACAAGAAACTGTTATGTCTATCATCAGCTTAGCTTGTGAGTGCCAAATTTATTCATAACAACTTTTGATTCGTTAAGTACAATTATTCGTGTGATGATCGCGTTGCAAGAAACCTCGTTATGTCATAAGACAGATACAGCTTATAGAAACTTTTATTCATAACTAACGACCCGCCCGGATTCGCACGGGTGCAATGCTTATGTAATTTACGACATCACATTAGAAACCTGTAATTTTTTCAGTGTTTATCTACTAAATTATGCATGTATTAACATAAACCTTTCTTAAGAATCACTCTATATGTATGTATATAAAAAACCGCATCAAAATCCGTTGCTTAGTTTTAAAGATCTAAGCATACATAGGGACAGACAGACGGCGGATAGCGACTTTGTTTTATACTATGTAGTGATATCCATATCTAACCCGTACCAGTACTAACATGATGACAATGAATTAAAGCCTGATAGATTCCTTGGTAAATAAGCATCGTGTTTGTTATTTCAGCTAATCTGGGAGGTGTATTCGGCTTGTCCATGGGCTTCAGCTGCATCAGCTTCTTAGAAATATTGTTCTACATTTACCTCGGACTCAAAATGTACATTAGAAATAAACTTGCTAAGGTGTTCTTGGCAATTTCAAATCATTACAATTAAATAAATTCTAGCGTTGGCACCAGATTTATGAAGTAGCGTAGTTTGTTACATTTTTAAAGTAAGCTTGCACGGGTTACATAGCCTTTTTTTTAAGGGGGGAAAATCATCGAATGACTGCTCCCGCCTGGGTGAGGCGGGAGGGAGTGTCAGACTCTTACTGACTAAAAACCACCCCGTTCCTTTTCCTGCACTTCGAGTCGGAGCCCCGGTTACCCGTTAGGTTCTCCGCGACACGGGTTACATGGACTTGGAGATCATTTATTAACTACTAGCTTTTACCCGCGGCTTCGCTCGCGTCACAAAAGGATAAAAAGTAGCCTATGTGACGTATACCATTAGACACAGCGCCATCTATACCAATACTTTTGTTTTCCCTCGGAAATATAATTTTTTTCTGGGATAAAAAATACCCTATTATTTAATCCGGACTTCTAACTTTACGTCTGCAAAAATTCAAAGCAATCGTTAAGTAGTTACGGCGTGAAAGCGGAACAAACAAACAAACAAACTCACTTTCCGATTTATAATATTAGTAAGGATTATAATGCGCCATACACACAAATGTCCCTCGACACATCTTGTCGACTACGCAACGCAAAGTAAAGTGTGTTGTGTAGCGACATTGACGTGATTTTCTCTAGGAATATTATGTGATGCGTATCAACTTTTGTGAATGGAATCATTATATGATTTTCTTGACTCTCGTCCTTGGTGAGGCGAAAAGGTGTGTCAGACTACTCACTAAAAAAACCTTGACTGCATGGTTTGTGGTTTGTATAATCCAGGAATTGCTGTTCCTGGGGGCTGACTCTTCAATTCAATTTCGATTCATCGACATTGATATTGTGAAATTTCGTACTCTTGAGTTGCAACACTAGCGCCCATTGCGTCCGTATTGCGTGGATATAGAATGAACTAAATGATATTGAGTTCGGCGTTATATTTTATATTCTGAATGCTATGTTAACAGTTATGATTGGGATTGTATAGTTTTGACATTGAATAATTATTAAGATTTTGTTGAATTGAAATTGCATTGACATTGAGATTGGTTTCAAGAGTAAGCACCCTAGTCTGTGTTTGTGTCGCGGAGAACCTAATGGGTAACCGGGGCTCCGGCTCAGACGTGCAAGAGAAGGAACGGGGTGGTTTTTAGTCAGTAAGAGTCTGACACTCCCTCCCGCCTCACCCAGGCGGGAGCAGTCATTCGATGATTGTCCCCCATTAAAAAAAATCTGTGTTTGTGAAATTATAAATATTGTGTTTGTATTGTAAACACACCCATGACACAGGAGAAATATCCTAGGGTCGAAGTTAAAAAAGCAACTTCTCAAGACATGTCGCCATTTTCGGCCCCTGGTATTAACTTCTCTAGATTTTTATACGTTGTATACTGTATAATATAAGGTACATAGTAAATGAATGATACATTGGTATTCATAGTAATTTAAAAAAAAATTGTCTGCACTTTAGAACATAACTTATGACCCTGTGTGACCTCAGTAAATTATTTTTAAATAAAATCTGTGTATACATTTATTTGTTTGGTTATTTATTTATTCCTTTCTATATACATATAGTAAACAGGACAACATACTTATTAGGAGTATATAGTCAAGTCGAAGCTCATTTGGCGTTGAAAAAAGCACTATAAAAAATAAAATCAAATGAAAATATAAAAAATATAATCTAAGTTAGAGTTTATTAGTTTCTTCGAACATGCTATTCTCCGAAACAACTTGTTCGAATTGTACAATACAGATTGAGATACCGTGTGTTTTAATACTTAAATTATGTTTTATATCCTAACGCTTTCCTCTATCTATCCAATACAAAAAGAGTTATCCAATTCTAACGTTCCAGAGAGCACATTCAAACGAACGAAACAAACTCATCAGTTTCATATTAAACTGTCAAATACCAAGCGGTCACCGGTGACCGCGACCTATTGTTCTTTAATTGTGTCTATAAAACCGGTACTCGACGAGTTAAGGAATATACAAACCACCGTAACTTTGTCTCTTTTAGTTTATTGTTGCAAATCATTTATCTATAGCCCTTTTGACCTTGAAAATGAAATGCAGGGTGGGGCAATTAGTTATTCACACCAGAAATGGAGAATATGTTGATATGATGTTAGCATTCGTAACAACTGTCGTTATAAATTAGTGGTTCCCAACAGGTGATCCATAGACCTGTACCTGACCTGTCTGTAGAAGACTAAACATGTAAAAAAACGAATACACAAGACATTCAATAGGGCCTTCCGTATTTTTGCTTACTAGATCTGGTAGGTTGATTGTTGATCAGGCTCCGGTTAAAGCTAAAATCAATCTTAGGTCATTAACATGAGAGCCCATGATAGACGCCAGTGTAGTCACGAAACGGTCGCCGTAGCCGATACCGGCATGGAATGAAGGAAGGAATTAATCTTAGGTATGACCACTGAAAGAAGTAACCCATTCATTTATAACGTCACACCTTTTATCCCCGAAGTCAGAGATGCACATTACGGTACTTAATGCCACTGTACAATGTAATACTTTTCAAAATTTATGTTGAGTTCCATGTAATAGAGGGTGAGCCTATTGCCATATACCGGGCACGATTCCAGACTCTGTGTTACTACTGAGATTTTTTTAAATCCAGTATTACTTTGCCCGACTCGGGAATCGAACAAGGGGTCTCCCCTTGCCCGGCAGTCGCACTTTTTTTTTTTTAAGGGGGAAAATCATCGAATGACTGCTCCCGCCTGGGTGAGGCGGAAGGGAGTGTCAGACTCTTACTGACTAACAACCACCCCGTTCCTTCTCCTGCACGTCGAGCCGGAGCCCCGGTTACCCGTTAGGATCTCCGCGACTCCGAATCGGCATCGGCCCTATTGGGCCCCATCTGTGGTGGTCTGATGGCTCTTTGAGGCGCGCGCGGAACGCGACGCGCCGTACGCTCGGGTCTGTTTCTGGTCGGACGGGGAGCCACCCATGCTCGCCGTCCGCAGGCCCGCGCTTACGGTGGCCGGAGATCGTCCCGCGATCCCCGACGCCCGGTGTGTCCTTCGCGATGGCTGGGTTGCCAGGAGGCAGCGCTTCGCTGCCTCACGCGTCCCGCCTCCTCCTTAGCTAGCATGACTGCTTCGCAAAAGGAGGAGACGGCATCCCAGTCCCCCTCGCTCCGCATCATGGCCTGCACTAGGCCCGGACGCGAGAGGGGCAGTCGCACTTGCGACCACTCGGACAACGAGGCAGAAAGAAGTAACTGATTTCAGTAATTCAAAATTCATCATTCTCCTTTATAATATCTTCTATCTACTCGGACAACGAGGCAGAAAGAAGTAACTGATTTCAGTAATTCAAAATTCATCATTCTCCTTTATAATATCTTCTGATTCACTTCGTTGCGGGAACCAAGACAGTTACTCATGTCCCTGGGACGCGCCGGATCAATATTCTGGTGTTTTCATGGTTGCATCTACTGTAGATCCTGGCTTACAGGAGTTGTAGCGGTTTTGGGAGGTTGTGGCGGGCTTGTCCCTAAAAAAAAAACAAAATTCACTATTTTTATGAACCCTGCGACTCCGGAGAAATTCTTGTATGGGATTACGTGAAAAAGATATGGTAGTAGTGGTCCCTAACATGCTAAGAATGATATTATTATAAAAGTGACCAAGTAAAGGTTGGAGACCCCTGGTATAAATATTTAATTTTGCTACTGAATAATCTAAAACTGAAACACTATAAATAGGATAAACAGCGACCGAATGAAAATAGTGATCTGATAAATTGAAGCCGAAATATTTTTTTTTTTTTATTTTGAAGCCGAAATAAAATGGCTAATTTTTGGCGCCTTTTGCGAACTTAAGTACTTCTTGAAAAGCACAATAGTAGGACTTAACAGCAGAATTAACGGAGGTGTTGGTTGTGCCTTGATTTGGCGGTCGTGAGTCGATGTTTTCCACCTTTAGTCTGGACCCTTCCTACGCGGTTTGCAATCAGAACTATATACCCTTTGAACAGAGCGGCTAAAATGGTTCCAGACAGCAAAGCGACTAGAGTAAACATATTGAGTTACTCTAGGACCTCCCTCGATTTCTTGAAGAACCCCAGGATTACCCACTGTTTGGCCAAGGAGATAAAGCAGTGTTTGAAGACCGTAATGGAACAGTTCCTTTTGACCACGTGACTTAGTGTGGACCTTATGTCATTCCCATACATTATCATACTTTTCTACTAACGACATCGTTTGTAAAATTGTAATTTGGCTAGTACCGCGGAGAAGAGAGATTCTAATTTACTGGCTGAGGGCCCATGTTGGAACGGCCGTAAATGAGAGGGCAGACGAATTAGCTAAAACCGCTGCCAAAAAGAAAAATAACACCACGGTAGACTACTGTACCCATGTCCTAACTAACAGGACGAAACTATCCATAAATGACAGGACAGGTATACCACCTCAACTACTGGGCAGGTAAATAAAACGTTTCTCTTAGACGTTTATCCATTGGGCTCGCTGCCATTGCAGCGGTAAGTCCCCTCTTTGAGGAGTGGCTTGAGAGACGCTACGGCGTCCTCACCTACCGCCTGACGCAGGTCCTCACCGGACATGGAAGTTTCGGGAGGTACCTGTGTCTGATGGGGCGGGAGGAAACGCCCGGGTGTCATCACTGCGAGGGCCGCCCTGAGGACACGGTGGAACACACAGTGGGAGAATGCCCTGCGTGGGCTAAGCACCGCCGTGCCCTCGGGGAAGTGATCGGCGATGGCGACCTCTCGCGTCCGGGCCTAGTGCAGGCCATGATGCGGAGCGAGGGGGACTGGGATGCCGTCTCCTCCTTTTGCGAAGCAGTCATGCTAGCTAAGGAGGAGGCGGGACGCGTGAGGCAGCGAAGCGCTGCCTCCTCGCAACCCAGCCATCGCGAAGGACACACCGGGCGTCGGGGATCGCGAGACGATCTCCGGCCACCGTAAGCGCGGGCCTGCGGACGGCGAGCATGGGTGGCTCCCCGTCCGACCAGAAACAGACCCGAGCGTACGGCGCGTCGCGTTCCGCGCGCGCCTTAAAGAGCCATCAGACCACCACAGATG